AAACAAGCCATAAACAAGACCCTGCTTTATCCTGCTTCGATGTCATGATGATGTTCGTGGTTGCATTCGTCCTACACGACTTGATATCATTGTCCGTATGCTCCAGGGTGTCTTTGGTGAGGAGCCTTGGAGAAAGGCTGCCACGTAACATGGGCAAGCTCTTGGCTGAGCGCATAAGCTTGCAGTCTAAAGTGTCGACTTGTTAGACGTCGTTTTGAATCCACACATTGAAAGTTGCGCGAAAAGCTCTCATATCACGAATAGCCACGACCGCCCAAAAAGCCTGTTGTAAGCGTCCTTTGCCTGCCACCGCTAAACGTTCACCACCCACCACGGCGAAATACATCTACCCTTAGCATCAAAAGCCATACAGAACTGCAAACTTGACAACCTAGGCATTCCTCCACAGTCTACCGGAAGCAAGTCATACCGCAAACCATGTCCCGAGAAATTAAACCCTCACCGGTCATACTCGCTTTGAACAAAGACACTGCACCACGGATTAGGGTTAAGGGCTTAGGGCTTCCCCTAAACTACAGAAGTGTGAGGAGATAGGGCAGCGCTGCCCTTCTCTATACTGAACTTAGAACCCTAGCAAAAAGTGTAATTTCTGCTGTCTCTTAGGAATTAAAATAACAAAAAAATAAAAATCAATTCTAAGTACCCCTGAGTTCTTGTTCTGAACACGACAACCACCTGAGTTAGGATTAGGAGGATCCTCGGAGTCTCAGCGAGGTCCTTGTTAAGAGGGCGAGAAGTAGGGTTAAGAAAGGGACTCCTTTAAGGGTACTACCTAGGAAACCCTAATCCCTAAACTTAGACCCTAAACCCTAAACCCTCTTAAACCCAGAACCCCCCCCAATTCCTGGAAGGAACCCTAAACTTAGACCCTAAACCCTAAGCTTAAACCGAAAACCCTCCCAATTCCTACCTGTATGAAAACCCTGAACCCTATAAATGCTAACCCTTTAAACCTTAAGCCCATTATCCGATCAGCTTGAAACCTATACCTTCGGATCCCAAGGTAGAGAAACCAGGCCACTCGTGGCAAAGCCGTCCTTGTTAGAAGCCGGATCCACGAGGCTCACGCGCCCCTGGAGGTATCCTGGAAGTTCAGAGACTCCCATGTCCCCTTAAGGAATGTACCTAGGGTTCCTTTAAGGGATCTATAAGGGATCTATACGGTTTATAGGGTGTAGGGAACTCCAATATCCCTTAATTAAGGAATATACCCTAAATTATAGTAGGATCCCTAATATGATTTCAGGAATATACACTAATCAAGGGAATTCAAGGCACATTGGAGTCTCTGGATTCTTGTAAATCAACCCTAGGGCACGCAGTTGCCTAAATAGTAGGCTACTGGGGTGCCATATATGGCTCGTGAGCCTCTATTTAGGGGCTTGGGTTTAGGGCTTTTGGGAGTTAGGAGTTAGGGTTAGTTTAGGGATTACCATAGGGTTGAAGTCAAGAGGTTACAGCTTAACGTTCAGAGCGTACGGCTTGCAGGGGGCAAGCTTTAGGGATTTCTGCGGTTTCTCTCGCCGAGGAGCTTAAATTTCAGCTACTTAGAAGCCACTAATATCGGGGCCTTAAGAATTGGAACAGGGCTTTGGGGTATATTATACTTCAATCATAATGAAGCGATTTTTTGAGAATAGTGGTGATCTTTATGCCGACCCCTATGTTACCTCCCTGTACCCTAAACCCCACACCCTAAACCCTTACCTCCAACAACAATGGGACCTGAACAAAGGAACCTGGACAACTCACTATGACATACTCTAAGAAACCCCTAAAACCCTCCTAGGTTCTTGAGTACCCCTTTATTATAATAAGGGGATGCTCTTCTCCACTATTTGGAGTCAATAAGGGGGCCCAGGTGCTACTCAGGAACCTAGCCTGAGTTGTGAAACCGCTTATGGGTAGCATGATGACGGATACCCCTTAAAGGGTACTCCTTCCGAACCCTACTTCTGGCTCTCTTAAAAGGGACCTTATCGAGAGGGTCTATATCCCCGAGGGTCCCCCTAATCCTATCTCCCAGGTTAAGGAATCCTTTCAGTCAAATCGGTGGTTGTCAAAATCATGGTCCCTTTTTGGGTCCCTATTATAGTACGGCACCTAATATTTAGGGTACCCCAAAAGGGAGGGACCCTTAATAAGGACCCCTAGGTATATACCCTTAATATAACTATTATATACCCATTATTTAGCCCATTATATGGTAGGGCCCCCATTAAGGGTCCCTCGGCTTCCCCTTTGACAGTATTTAGGGTACCCGAAAAGGGACCATAATTTTGACAACCACCTAAATGAACACCGGCCAAAGTTGCTGTCGCCGGCGCCGAAGTTGTCCACGCTGACCTGAGCATTCTCGGCTCGTGGACAGGGCTTTAAAAGAAAGGTTTTTAAGGGTTTAGGGCTCAGCGTTTCGGGCTCAGAGTTGAGGGCTTAGGGTTGTTGCAGGGTGCTTCGTTCAAGAGAGGTGGCGGGCGGTTTAGGACTTGGAGGGTCCGGTTTAGCGTTTAGCGGTTAGGGCACGGGGGTCGGGTTCAGGGCTTAGAGGTCCGGCCACCTGGGATCACTGGGATTGCATTTTGAATTTTGGTTGCTTTGGGAGCACTGCTGCCGAAGCTCAATCTTCTGAGGATCGGAGACATAGTTCAGGGCCTGAGAGCAAGCGCCGACTTACCGGCGGTCGCGTGGATGCGGCTTCGTGGTTTGCGCTGTGGCTCTCGATTCTTGACAATGAGAACAAGCATACGAGAATTCATTTGGGGTCCTGGGTAGAAACAGATTTCAGTGCAGGGAGAGATGTGTATGTGAACATGAATACTTCCGACAACATCGGTTTTGCTAGGATGCTAGCCATGCTTGAGTGGAGCGTACTGTGCCTCCTCGTAGAACCTGGTGACATGCTGTCGGTGATGACTCCCGTGGCTACTGTTTGGGCGCAGTGGTCTCACTGGGATGCTAGGCAAATTGATGCTGCTGCCTCGTCTGGTCATATGGCCTCTGTTATATCGTTTCCTCAATGCAGTGATAGGCAGGGCACGGCAGTAGGCAGAACTACAAACTTATCAATTAGATAACTGGGCCGCATTGTATTATAAAAGAGTAAACTACGCAATGCTTCTTCTTCCACGGCTTTTGATACACGTGCATACATACATACATACATGCATACATGCATACATGCATACATACATACACACATACATAAGTACATACATACAACCTACATACCTAAATGCATAAACACATCGACACGTACATGCATGCATGCATATACATACATACAAACATACATACATCCGTCCATACATCCCGACATACATACATACCTGCCTACCTGCATATCGAAACGAGCAGAACAAGTCCCCACAGCACCGCTCTGCGCAAGTTCAGGGTCGACAAGTCAAGCTAGAACCACGAGGTTGGAGGCGGCTACATTAGAACCTGCCCCCACCCTGTAATAGTGACTAGAAGGATTATATTAGGGCCCTATTATATTATATTCCTATTATGCCACTATTACAGGGTGGGGGCCCCATCAAACGGCTACATTACACAGGAGGGAAAAGGGCTTGGGGTGCCTCGGATCTATGTTCAAGCGATGAGACGTGCCCGTGACAAGTACAACAGCACAGTCACGCTATAGATGGTTACCGCATGGGTCTCAAAACGAGCCTGGAATTCATCAGCATTTTGCACTTTCATTTTGATGGCCCTCCCAGCCTTTAAATGCTCCAAACCGAAACTCAGCCATCGTTTGAACCCAAAGCACGACGCGAAACCCTATCCTAAATCCTATAAACCCTCATCCCTATATCCTTTTTTGCGAGATTCCTGCCTCCGGAAAATAGAACATGGAAAGAGTCAGCTTCCCACGTATTAGCTTCGCGCGGTCCTGCGGGATAGAGCCGGCCGCAGCGGTGGTAAACAATCACAGCGGGGTTCTACGGTTTAGGGTTTAGGGTTTAGGATCTAGAATTTAGGGTGTAGGGTTCATGTTTTTTTAAGGGTTCAGGGTTTAGAGTTTAGGGTATAGGGTTTAATTAAGGTTTAGGCAACGCGGAATGATGTTGATTTGGGAAATTATTTAGGCTTCTATGGCAGAGGAGCGGCCCTCGACTTCGCTTGTCGTGGTTGAGACCACAGGGCTGTTTGTCTTGTTTGGTTTACTGTCCTCGACTTGAATGCCGGATACCCCAAGCCCGACAGCCATGCCAAATTTGAGACCCTAAACCCTTAAACCCTAAACCCTAAACCCGTAAACCCTATACCCCTAAACCCTAAATCCGATACCGCTAAAGCCTAAACCCTGAACCCTTGAACCCCTGAACCCGTGAACCCTGGCAGTTTAGCTGTAGAGGCTCAGGATCTTGGGCGTCAACGCCTGGGAGGGTTCCCAGAGAACCCACAACCATGGGATAGGGAACATATGCTAAAATTAGGAGTACCTTAGGGTTCCTTTACAGCGTTACTATAAGGGTACAATAAGGTTTCCGACAATTAGGGGTACCTTATTTTTGGGATTATACTAGGGATCCTACTATTCGGGGTACTAAAATTGGGTCCCTGATTTTCGGAAACTCCCAAATGTGGGAGTGGATAGTCGGCGGGGACGTTGGCTTTTTTGTCGTTTTGCTCCTGAACCGAAGATTTTGTGCTGACCCCCCCCCCCCCCCCGGCGCCACCAAAAAACGGGTCGAAAAAGGCCCGGTGGGGCGACAACACAAAAAGCACAACTTCTGTATAGAGCCTTTTTAGGGTTATAGTTATAGGGAAGACGCCTTAAATCGTAGAGGGCTTCAAGCATGACTTAAGGTGCAGTCTTGAATTGAGGGGTATTGGGCTGGGCTAAGAATCCATGGCGTAGGGTCGTTGGGCTTTCGCATGGGCGCCCATAGGATGCTGAAGACTATAGTTCAAATCCTAAACACTCTTTCTGGACCCTTTCAAACCTTCCTTTTTGAGGTTCCCGATTATGATTTCCTTATGTAAATCCTCAAAAAGATAGCTTATTTGGGGTTAAGGGACACCTTAAGCCCTAAACCACGTGTAGGCATTCGACTTGCAGTGCTCCTCGAACCCGAGGAAAAGATCCCAGTCGGGAATGACTCGGATGGGGATGCCGCCTTCTGGGAGTGCCTCCCAAACGGAGGCGGAGGATTCTAGGGTTTTGGGTTTACTTTAGGGCTTAGGGGCTTTAAACAAACAAGTAGTTTCCGGGGGCTGCAACCCGAAACTGCAAGACAAGACGAGCCATGGAGATAGAGCAAAGGCAACCTCACGAGAAAGGCGGCGCTTCGGTGTTGGCTTCCGGGTTTTGGGCAACTTCGAGACTGCAGTGTGACAGTATCGCAAACTGTGGAGCTCATAAAGCACGTGATAAGCTTCATGTGATGTGACAACATGTGGGCAGCATTAATTAAGACGGATTCAATGCAGTGCACTTTAGTGACAAAAACCGGCAACGAGAAACGTTCGCCCACAAACAGAATCAATGAACAATAAAATCTCGAAAACCGAAGACCTGCAAACCGCAGAGACCTATAGCCAGATAACCTCGCCAGTATAGCTGAACCTGTCGAGACCTGATCACACCCGTGAACCCCAAAACCTACAATCGCCAAAATCACGTATCGTAACTACTCTGACTGAGCCCTAATGCATCCTGGAAGACCCTCATATTACCCCTATGGAAACCTTCCAAACCTCCATACAGTCATTCATGAAAACCGCATAGACACCGTGACCCTAAAACCCCCAGGCACATACCCACCCTAGACCCTAAACCCCTAAACACTCAGTAACCCTTTTAGGGACCCGTGCGATAACCCTTAGAGAAACGAAACCCTTGTAGCAACAATTGGCCTAACAAGGTTTTACGAACCGTTTTGAACCAATAACGCGATAACCCTTGTAGGAGTCCTTGTAAGAACCTGTATAGGAAACCAACTGTAAACATCCTACAGCCCCAAAAGTCCTAAACCCTTATTCATCGTAGGAACCCTCAGAGTGACCTTTAGAGCATCCCTTCTCGCAACCCCGGCAGTAACCCTTGCAGTACGTACCCTTTTAGCAACCCCTTCTCGGAAACCTCAAGGAAGCCCAATAGCATCCCTTTAACTTAACTCTCCTACGCTTGATGCCGTAAATGATATAAATCCTGCATTGCTGAAAATAAGGAATATACAATAACTCCCATAGTTTAGGGTCCTTAAGGTAATGCAGGGATTTATATCATCAGCCGTAGTACCTCTTCTGGTAACCCATAGAGGAAACCTCTAAACTCTAACCTGAACCCTAAACTCTGAACTCCGAAAGCCAACCTTGTAGGAACCCTTAAAGGGACCCGAAACCCTGAACCCAGCCCTAGAGTCTCCCATAAAGTGGGAGATTTGAAGGAACCTTACAGGACCTGAAAGGAACCCGTAAAGGATCCATCAACCCTAAACCCTAAAACCCTAAACCCTAAAATCCGAAAACCCTAAAAACCCCAAAACCCCTAAAGCCCCAACTCCCCCTCAATGGAACCCCCTGAAAGGACCCCATAAGAGGCCCAGGGCCTCTCGCAATTGCAGCCCACCCGGGAGCTCCTGCATGCCCAGCCCCACGTGGGTGTTGGGTTTAGGGTGTAGGGTTTAGGGGTTTAGGGGGTTTGGGGTGTTAGGAGTTAGGGTTGAGGGTTTAGGAGGGGCAGGGGACTTAGTAAGGGCTCTTAAAGGGCTCCTTAAAGAGATCTATGGGGATCCTTAAAGGGATCTACAGCTTGAAAGGGCAGGGGACTTAGTAAATCGTTTATAAGTAGGGTAATAATTGTGACTCCATTCAGGGTACTTAGAACTCTACTTATAACCTACTTACTAAGTCCCCTGCCCCTGCAAGCAGCCCCTTCCAAATCCTTCACATAATTCAGACTATTTAGGGTTTAGGGGTTTAGGGGTTTAGGGTGTACGAGTTTAGGGTTTAGGGTTTAGGTTTCAGGGTTTAGGGGTTTAGGGTTTAGGGGTTTAGGGGTTTGGGGTTCATATTAGAGTTTGGGGACATGAGATACGAGTCTGAGACTTAGGATTCTGAAAGGGTTTTCCTAATAATGTTGGAACTTGAGAAAGAAACCCAACAGTGGGATTTAATGAAGAAATCTTAATAAAGGCCCAAGGTTACTCATAATTTGGTTCCTAGTCCTACACGATATGAGTGCTGAGAAACAAATCTTTATGAGGTCTTTAATGGGGTTTGTGAGATCCCTAAACCCTAAACCCTAAACGAGGGGTTCATCTGGACTTTGTACCGCGTCTTTGTTGAATGCGGGTTGATAGGCTCTCGGGTTGCTATGGGGCTTCAGAGATCTGAGCTGTACCTTAGAAGGGGCCCCCACCCTGAAAAAAAAAACATAAGGACTATATAGGATTATATTAGGGCCCCATTATATTCCTCTTATACCGCTATTACAGGGTGGGGGCAGCTTCTAAGCTGTACCTGTATCCCTAAACCCTACAGTTTAGTAGGTTATGACCCCTTAGTTAGAGGATAGAACCCTCAAAACGGTAGGGTTTTAGGATCCCAAGGTAGGTACTAAGGGTTTGGGAAAATCGCATGGGCAGTTGTCAAAATTATGGCCCCTTTTTGGGTACCCTAAATCATGGGTGCCGTACTATAGTAGGGACCCAAAAAGGGACCACAATGTTGACAACCACCCATACCTTCCGGATGTCAAGTCTGGGGTTTCAGGGTTCTCAGCATAGCTTAGAGGTTCATGGGACTTAGTAACTAGGGTTATAATTAAGGTAATTACATTGTAACTTATAATCCCAAATCAATTAATTTGGGATTATAAGTTACAATGGTACTTATAACCTTACTTGCTAAGTCCCATGAACCTCCAAGTAGGTTTCAGGACTGCGTGTTGCCGGCTTCCTCTGACAAGCATACGTCCTGCACGTCTGACCCGAAGCCTGCACCGAAAGCCCTAAACCCCAAGTCCAAACTGCAAACCCAAACCCACAAATCCCCAAAGCCAAAACCCTAAAAGCACAGCCTAGCCAGAGGCCCCAAAGTAGTTCCTTTTTGGGCTTACCGTATAGGGTTCTATGTATGAACCCCAAAAAGGAACTACTTTGGGGCCCTAAACCCTAAACCCCATAGACCCCTTTAAGGATCCCTATCGATCCCTTTAAGGAACCCTTTAAGAGCAAAAGCAATCCAGCTTCCCAGGGCCGTCCTGCACGTCCGACTCCGATTCGCGCTCAGCCTCCGCCGCTTCCCCGGTCTGCAGCTGCCGACTCTCATCATTTGCAGCAAGAACCTCGGTAATTACCCTAAGGCCCCGAAGTAGTTCCTTTTCGGGTTGGGGTTCATATATAAACCTATAAGGTAATCGATAATTAAGCAGAAAATGGGTGGTTGTCAAAATGAGGGTGCCTTTTTGCATACCCGAAATATTAGGTGCCGTAGTATCATAGGGACCATAATGTTGACAACCACCCATATCGCGTAATGACTCTTCCCTGGAAAACGCGGTGCATCTTGTACCCCGTGTTGTGACTATACTCACACTCTCATGCACTGATCTGCCTGTAATTGCCCTGCTTCCTTATTCGTTGCCACGCTGTGCAGTCTTACCTTCTCACTCGTTACTTGGCACGTTGTGCGTATCTCAGTCCAGAACCATGAATCTGTGTCGTAAGTGTACGGTTGTGGCGGGCCCAGGACGGAAAATGTCGGATCATTTCCCAGCATGAGCAGGCACACCTCTCGAATGTGTATAATGTGTGCATGCTTGCGTGCCCCAATATGGGGGCCTTAATGAGTAGAATAGGGTTTTGGGGCCCAGTATACTGTACGTACAATCAGGAACCCCCTCAGGCACCTATATTACTTGCAGATCTTGCGCACAGCTCTAATCAGTTTCTTCCGGCCATCGCTCGATTCCCGAACGCACAGACCCAAACCGGACCCCCCAAGAGCCCTTTAACAGAGTCTTTATGGCTCTTAATAGTACGTATTTGGTGTATAGTAGAGGGGTAGTTGGGGGCTGTAGATTGATGTCGGACACCAAACACCATGGAACTGAAACCCACCCACCAGCCCTGAACCACAAGAGTAGGGGAACCAAGAGTGCAACCCGGACCATCAAACATCAGATCAAAGCTAAACCCAAAACGTATCTAAATCAAGGCTCCAACCTCTCTACACCCTCAATCGTTGCAGGGGCCGCAATGAACAGTATAGGCTATCTAGCTAGGGCCCGTGAAGATGTTCATATATGTTTCAGACCTCTTTCTTACACAAAGCCCTGCAAGCCATACCCTGTCACCATCGTCTGGCCAAGTATACTGTATACTAGAGTGGAACCCCTAGCCCAAGGACTATTAGCCCTAGATGCTACCACCCTGAACTAGACTAGACCCAAAACACCTGGAGGCTCCCAAACCCAGCAATAACGGTTGATGATACAAATCCTGCGCATTGCCCATAGCAAGGAACATACCATCATTCCCATAGTCTAGGGTCCTTGAGGTAATGCAGGATCTATATCATCAACAGAAGGAGCCTTCTACAATGTCTACTGAGTCTACTATAGTCTATTCTTAATCTATTTCTCAATGACGTTCCATGAAAATGAGGGCTTAGGAATGCCCTGACTCAAGCTCTAAACCGGAATAAACCCTAAAGGGAACTCCAGAAAGTTGGAATATGGCTTCAGGGTAGGATACCTTATAATTTACCATAAAGGGCTTAGGACAATCATATTCCAACTTTCTGGCTTTTACTTTAAACCTGTGATCAAGCCGGGAAGCGCAAAGGAAGAGTAAGCTGGCCAAGGCTTTGTGGCCGATTCGCATCGCTGCGCCCTGCATGGGTTTAGGTTTCGGGCTTAACCCTTAATAACCTACCTTTATAGGGTTCCATATTATGATTTCCTTATGTAAGTCCTTAAAAAAGGTAGGTCCTTCAGGGTTAAGGTAAGGTTTAGGGTTTAGGGATCAGAGGGCTTGGCACAGCCCTGCATGGGCTTACTGTCTGATTCTTAGCAGGGAATGGGGGAATGGGGTTCCATTATCGGGACTACTATAGGGCACCAGACAGTTTAGGTTTGGGGCTTACCTAAATGCGGACAAACTCAGTTACAAGTATAGTTACCATATTCATAGCCCAAGTTACGAAGTCCCATGAAGCCCCTTAGCCTGGCATCAGGCGAGGTCGATCTAAGGGTTTCATACGGTAAGGGTTTACCAAGGCATACACACGGGCTCCTGAAATTCTGGGCTGTCTTGTTTGGGATTCCTGAATATAGAGGATGGGCTACTTGAGGTTTGTGCCAAAGGTTCGGCAACTTCTGAATTTTCCTGAAACGTACCATTTGCAACACCCACGACCGAAAACTCGAAACCCCCCAGCGACCATCCTAACTGAAAACACGACTGCAAGACAACTACAGCCGCCGTAAATCCCAAACATTGAAATCCAAATGATTGAGACCATACCTGAAAAGTCCCAAGTCTCTGACGTTTGAGGAAGGTCGACTGGTTGACCATACTCCTAAGTATGTGTATCGAATCAGATAAGCAGGATATGAGTATGCCACCACTACCGGCAAAAAGGAGCCATATAACTATTTCAATGGGTACATGTACCCCGACAGTATCGACTATGGCTCTAATATCTATGTAGTAACCCCGTTGAGGCCTAAGTATATGCTGTACTGTACAGGCACAGGGACCCTTAGACCCTAAACCCTTATGGTACCCCGAATAGAACCCTCCAAGGAATCTTTATGGGAACCCTAAACCCTAAACCCTAAACCCTACATGGAGCCTTAGGGTATGGCTGTCTTCGCCTTAAGCAGCCTCGCCTTCGTCTTGACGGACACAGCAGCAGATGAGTCAGCCGCAAATGGCCGAAAGAGTTTTGGCGGCTTCTGAGGAGTCTAGGTTCCTGAGTAGTCCCCTTTATGATAAGAGTACCCTTGTTCCTAGTGTTCGGTTTTGATGAACTTACCCTTAAAAAAGGGCAAAAGGGTACTGCCCAGGAACCTGGGAGTTCCAGAATGACTTGGCAAAGTCTCGCCGCAGCTCTTACAAGGTTTGCCGAGATTTAGAAGGCCTAACTCTGCAATCTGCTTGTTATTCATGTTGGCATTGCTGAGCTTCTGCTGACACCAGTTGCCCACTGTTTTGCATTAGTGCCGACATGCGCAGAGCGGCCTGTGATTTCGGCATCGTGCCCCTGCAGTGGACAGGAAACTGTGGCGGGGACGACGCAACTGGGACCTCCATGTGTTCATACCTTGGAAAAGCGTCTGATGCCACATGTTGTGCTTGACGTCGTTGGTTGCATATGATGTCCGTAATGTTGGCTTCATAATAATGCACCCCCCCAGGTCTGATTGATTTGAGGCCCAGGCAGGGAGGATTGATTGTTGAGGGGGGTCCCAGAACAACAACACTAGCTGACTGTCTCTGCGATTCTGGGAGGGCTGACGAAACGACCTCCAGGGACGAGATAATTATTGAGTTCCGGGGATCGGGTTTTGTAATATTTGAGGGGTGGCGATTGAGTTTTATAATTGAGGGGACTCAACATGTAGGGTCCTTGTACCCTTGTGGTACATACTGGCGCCTTCAAGTACCTAAAGAGGCATTACATTGGGCCAAACTATATATTTACTACGTGAGAACATCGACCACTAAACCCTAAACCCTTGTGGTACCCTCATAGAACCCTTGAAGGGACTTAATGAGCTCATGGACCCCTAGGGCGTGTTGAGTCCTCTCCTGGGAGAGCCTCCGGTTTGCGAGCTCGGAGATCTTTGGAGGACTAGGAGGATGGCAAATGAAACTATAGGGTCGAGGGGTTTAGGGTTTTTGAGCTTAAGATTTTCGGGGTTTCAAGATTAGGGCCTATGATTCGGGTGTAGGACAATTGGGTTTAGGGCTTAGGCCGAAAATGACGATGCTTTGCTTCCTGTAGGATGTCGTCGGATTGTAGGCAGTGAAGATGCATGCAACTTTGGAAAAGGGCTGTTGGCTGGGCTGGTAAGCAAAGACGTGCTGGAAACTGTGTCTGTTGGAGCTGATCGTACTCATGCAACACTAAGCCACGTGAGCCCCAGAGAAACCTGGTCTTTTCAGTCTCTCTGAGACGGTATCCAATACTCTCTCACTGATCAAGCCTGAACCCAAATTCTTTCCATAGAAGCAGTCTTTGCATGTCACAATGTCTTTGCAGGCATCGCCGCGCACACTACGAAGCACAAGTCCTACTTGGAGCACGGCAGGGGCTGAGCAGGTCGTATAGGGGCCCCAAGAATTTGAATGTGGTTTCGTTTCAGGGTTCTTTGGAAGGGTCTATACTGGTTACGTTACGGGTTACTGCTAGTATGTGAGTCTCAGGGTATGTCGTAGACAAACTATAATTCTGGATCCCTTACGGAGCACCGTTAGATACCATTCGTAACCTGAGGCCCCTATCCCTAAGGCTCCATGTACCCATATTAATATACTTAGGCCTTACAGTACCCATATAGGGAACCCTTTAATGCCTAAGTACCGACTATACGGGTGTATATATATATATATATATATATAATATGGAGTCTTAGGGTATATCAGGGGCCCCTTAATTAAGAAATATTCCTTAAATCATATTTTGGATCCTACTGTGATTTAAGGTATATTCCTTAACTAATGGATATTGGAGTCTTAGGGTCTATCAGGGGCTCCAGTCTCCACCAAAGGTTGGGAAGGGCTTCAAGCGTACAGTGTAGGGTTGGAGGGTTAGGGCGCACACCCTCCTTTTCCAAAGGCTATCCGTTTGTTTCCAGCCAATTTACTAGGGTCCATGGCAACGAAGGGAGGGTATTGCGTCATTAGCAGCATTTGGCATAGAAGCGCTCATTCACTAAAAACCCTACCTCCGTCCTCCAGGTAAGCATCACAAAGCTGTGCTGGAGCGCTAGGTCTTTCTCCCCAAACTCATTCATTATGGCGTGGCGGGTTGGTGAGCTACATAAAAGGTCTCTCGAGGTTGTGTAGGGCCTAGGGCTTTTCGGGTCCAGGATTCAGGGTCGGGTTTTGTCGGCCTTACAGCTTTGCTTCTCGTTTCAAGCATTAAGTAAGGGCTCTGGGTTGGGTTAAGATTTTAGATTGTGGGTGGTTGTCGAAATTAGGGTCCGTTTTGGGTCCTTAATATAATACGGCACCTATCATTTAGGGTACCCAAAAAGGGACCTAATTTTGACAACTACCCAAACACCTCTGCAACTCGTAAGTTCCTCAGACTAAGGACTGACAGATCCGAGTCGAGGAAGCTTATGGTTCAGGGATTACAGGGTTTAGGGATTTACTCGGATCCCCCAACTACCCCCTATTAAGGGTTTAGGGTTTAGGGTTGAGGACTCTATTATAACCTAAATACCCACTATTAATGACCATAAGGGTACTTCGGGGGTGCTGGTAGCGTTCAGGGTTGAGGGCTGTCGGGGTCTTGAACTCGCACTCATCGTGCTTCCAGCAATGACTCGGCGTGTGCGCGATCCTAGATTCTCAGTCACCCAGTCACGTTCGTCATTGTGTATTATATTGTGCTATACTCTAATTGTTCTACTATATCATATTGTTAGTTTATACTTATTTTGTAATACAGTAGGACATAATAATGTAGTATGGCACACATAATATACATAGTTGCACAGCGGTCGGCATGTAGGTCCGCCACTGTGCCGGTCACTGGGCTGCTGGGCTTCTGGGGCGAAGCCCTTTGCTGTGGCTCACTGGGAACTTCCTCGAACACCGCGAGGACCCCTTCCCGAAAGAATCGAGGCACATGTGTTTACATGGGCGCCATGGCCCTAATGGAACCAGCTACACGTACAGTTCATAACGTGACCCGAAAGCACCTCCGCCGAGACGGGAACCCCTGTCAGGCCTACTGTAGGGGCCTAAATAATTACCTATAGACTATTTGGGTGGGTTTCTTCTTACCTTATTATAAGTACAGTATAATGGGCCCCGAAACCTTATTCTAATTATTGAGGCCCCTATATGTAGTATATACTATGGTAGGCACATAGAGCCTGAGGCCCGGTGCTTCATCCCAGGCTGCAAGTCGTCAGTAGTTGCAGCTGCACCTATAGTTACCTAGACCCCCGGGGGGAAGATCCCTTTAATGGGGATTCCTATAAAGTACTCGTAGTAGTGTAGGCCCCCAAATTAGTGGATTTACTTTCTAGATCTTCCCGGGGGTCTAGTTACCCCAGCTTAGAAAAGCTTCTATAGACTAGTGACAAGTAGCTACTCATGACCTTTGAAGTGCAGGTTTGCGAAGAAGATACGGGGTCGGTTCTGATAAGGCTCAGGGTTCAAATGTTGGCCAGGAACATAGGGTCTTCCTGGATCCTGCTTGGGAGGGTTCTTCGGTCCTCGAGGAGATTGGCAGGCACATGCCCGCCATATGGGAGGAACTGCACATGAGGCCGGCTTTCGCATTTACGACGATGAGCGTTGCAAACCCTAATATGCACAACTAACCTACAGGTGCATTCAACACGAATCGTCCGAAACTTTGCTCCGTGCTACATCCAGACAATCCCGGAACCGCAATACAAACAACACAGAACAGGATGTTCGTGCACGAATGCCGCGCCCCCAACAACATGCACAAACATCTTTAATAGCCCCATTCTCCTCATAGCTTTGACTTACAGTATATGGTGGTTGTCAAAATGAAGGTACCTTTTTGGGTACCCTAAATAATAAGTGCCGTATCATAGTAGGGACCCCAAAAGAGACCATAATTTCGACAACCACCCATATCGAAGCCGGAATAGTTACCAAAATCATTCCTTAGGGCTCCTGATCCTTCCTAAACCCCAAACCCTAGACCCTGAACCCTAGACCCTGAACCCTAGACCCTAAAGCCTAAACCCTAGACCCTATAGACCCTAGACCCCAAGCTCTAAACCCTAAGGTGGGGATTTCGGCATCCAGGGCCTGACGACTAGAGCTTACCACCAAGAGATTCATGTAGGGGCCTTAATAAGCAGAACCGGGTTTTAGGCTCCTTGATGGTATAAGTAGAATCAGGAACCCCCAAGGAGTAACGGCAGTAGTTATTACGTAGGCTTCTATTTTTACCAATTGCAGGATTGTTTTCAGGGTTGAAGGGTTTAGGGCTTACGGTCCATGGTTTGTGGCAGAGCTTGAACAGTTGGGGTGTCTAAGTGGAAGATTGAGTCTGGAGATTTCGCAGTTGCCTCTGCGGTAATCTAAATACAACACCCTCTACGCACTGTAAGACCTCGGTACTGGCAAGCAAATTTAGATGTGAGGCTTAGTCTGTGTCCTGGAGGCAGCGGTGGGGCTTAAGCTAGCCCGACCGCCCTCAGCCCCTTTGCTAAACCCTTTACTGAGTCTGCAAGGCTGGGATATATCGCTTTGGCCGACTTCAGCGCTGTTCCAGGCCGATCTCAGCATCTGCTTTGGCTGAGAAAAGCGCAGCAAACGTCTCGCCTGGCTCGTGGTCGGGTATGATGTTTCTCACTAGAAACCTTCATGGTATTCTGTACGATCTGCATCGTTGCGGAAATTCCTTGGCCATCATGTTTCATCCAACTGGTTCATGTTGCCAGCGGCAGCAATCGGATCCATTTACTTGACTGTCATGCGACATCGGTTCGACCAGCTTTGGAATAAGATTCGGCTATTGTCAATCAATGTGCAAACACAATGATGGGGCGAAAGAGCGGCGTTGGTCGGCACGAACTTGGGCTAAGCACTACACCCAAAAGGGTGGTGTGAGCATGCGCTGCCGGATCAATCAGCAGATGTAGCAATGTTGTGAGCCAGGACGGTGAAGAGAGCGATGACAACGACCGGCAATGACGAGGATGAGAATAACTGCTAGACTGCTAGAAGCAACCATGATGATGGTGGTGATGGCGATGGTGCAGTTTCTCTCGCAGGTGCTGGAGCACCTAAGTGCTGAGAATGTTCTGATGCCGAAGCTGGCGGCTGTGAAGATTGTGGCAGCAGCTGGTGGCGGTGGTGGTGGCAGTGGTGGTGGTGAGTGTTCAAGTTCGCCCTAAACCCTAAACCCGAAACTGCCCCTAAACCCTAAATCCCTCTCAGGGCTTCAGACGTTATCTCGGGGTTTCCTAAAGACCCTACTTAGGGTACTATATTAGGGTTCCCTATTTTCGGAAACCCCCATCTCGGAGGCTTCGGCTGGGGCCTCCCGGTTCTCATTCCGCTGCTTCAAGGCGCGGCTCGCCGACATCTCCTTAACAAAAGGAGGGACCCTTCACAAGGCTCAAAAGGGGAGAAGGAGGGGCCCTTTAAAGGGGATCTATAGGGGTTCTATAAGGGTATAGGGTTTTGGGGTTTAGGGGGTGTAGGGGGAAAGGAGGGGCCCTTAGGCTCTTAGGGTTCCTTTAAAGGGATCTATAAGAGTCCCTTTAAAGGGATCTATAAGAGTCCCTTTAAAGGGATCTATAAGGGTTTAGAGTTTAGGGTTTAGGGGAGAGGAGGGACCCTTAATGGGGACCCCGACCCTATAATGGGCTATAGAATGGGTATATAATAGCTATATTAAGGGTATATACCTAGGGGTCCTTATTAAGGGTGCCTCCTTTTAGCCTTGGATTATGGGATTTGGGATTCAGGGTTTAGGGTTCATAGGGTAAGTTCAGGGTTTGTTTAGGGTCTTATGATGGTACCCAGACCTTGCAAAATCCATTCATTCAGGAATAGAGCTTGGATCATTAGGGGTCCTAGTGTAACTTGAGGTATAATCCTTAATAAAAGGATTTGGGAAGGTCTGGGTACCCTTATGGTACTCTTTCTTGGAGAAGCCTTATACTGCCCATGTAGAACACTATTGACTATGATACACTTATGGAGCCATGAATCAGGGTCGCGAAGTGCTGTCGAACACCTGATTTAAAATTACAGCCAAAGGGCTGAGGGACTTAAGGCCTCTATCGTTTAGGTTCGAATCCTGAGCCCTGTGTCTGTATGCTGCTTCTCGGATTCTGTGGCGTCTCGCGGCTTCTCGAGCTGCCATGAGCCATGGAGTTCACAACAAAACACGTCTTCCTATCCACTGAAGCTCCCTCACTGGTTTGCGCTTCGATTTCAAACTGCTAGCTGAGGACGGAGACCGCATGCAGAGTCAGCGTTTAGGGACTCAACATCTCCCCGCATTCCCCATGCTTTCCAACCCCAGAAATCCTAAGCCCTCAACCCAAAATGAACCCTTTATACTACCCTAACCAACAGAATCCCTTAAAGGAAGCCTCAATAGAACCCGTAGAGGGAGCCTGCCGCCGGGTCGTGCTGGAGGAAAGCAGGGCTCCTCAAGAAGGTTGAGTGCAGGGGCCTTCGTAATTTGAGTACTCGGAGGTTCACGGGACTTAGTAACTGTAGTTATAAACAAGGTAGCTATACTTACCATTGGATATTACCGCAGTTAAGGTACTTATAACTGTACTTACTAAGTCCCATGAACCTCCAAGTAGGGTTTAGGAGCAACATTATAGTATAGAGCTCTTGCTGCCTTAATAAGTAGGACAGGGTTTTGGGCTCCTTGAAAAGTGTTAATATGGGAAGGAACCCTAAGGAAGAGTATTGGGTAAAGAGTAGTAGGCCTCTGTACATTATACTAAGAAAATTATGCTAGGTTCCTGAGTAGCACCTAGGGGCCTTCGTAATCTGAGTACTTGAAGGTTCATGGGATTTAGTAACTATGGTTATAAACAAGATAACTGCACTTATGATTGGACTAAGTCTCATGAACCTCCAAGTAGGGTTTAGGAGCAACGTGAAAGCATAGAACAGGGTTTTGGGCTCCTTGAATAGTATTAATATGAGAAGGAACCCTAAGGAAGTGTATTGGGTAATGAGTAGTGGGCCTCTGTACATTATGCTAAGAGAATCATGCTAGGTTCCTGAGTAGCCCCCTAAATAAGGGTACCCCTTTTCCTATTATTCGGGTTTGAATAAGGGGACTCTGACATAAATTGGGCAAACGGGCACTACTCAGGAACCTAGTAATTTGACGTGGGTTTAGGAGCAATAGCATACCATCTCCTTATAACCGGGGACCCTCGAAACTAGTACAACTAACTACACCCGATATGTCCGGTCTGTGCAGCAAGGGCTGGGGCTTGGGATTTGGGGTTCAGGGAATTCGGATCGACGGTTTGAGTGCTGATGGGTCATGTGGGAATTTCAGAAAATAGAGCACACTAATATAGCAGTCATATGGACCCCAAAGTAAGGTACCCCTAATTTTCGGAAGCTCCCATGTAAACCTGTACACATGCAAGCACTTAGATGGGTTTGGGGTTATGGGTTTCGTATAACAGGCCATGTGGTTCTGAAGAATTAGCTTTGTCATACAGATCACCATCGAAAAGTACAACAGCTGGCGTGGCCAAGATTCCTCAACACGAGCTACTAACAGTATGGCAGAACCCACAGCTTCCAAACGCTTACAAAACCCTAAATGACAAAACACCAAAGTCAAAAACTAGCACAGCCAGCATGGACTTGCCACCAGCAGAGCTCTTGCCTCGTCTCTTCCAGCAAGCCTCCTCGTGAACTGGAGAAGAGTCCGCAGAACGCACCAACACCTTCAGACGAGCCGATAAACAAAAATACTCGAACATGAGCAGAGGAGCAGCGAAATCGAGAAGAAACGACATCAAATGAACGAAACATATTACTACCAAACTGTCGTCGCATGCTGACAACCGTACAGGTACTCGTACTTTCACGAAAAACAGAACCGGAGACTCTACCAGTCCTCATTCGGCTAAAGATGTCTTCGACAACTCCCCCAATACATGTACGTATAAACACACTATAATATACGAACATATATCTAAACCTAAAGACAGAGGGAGAGAAAGAGCGAGAGAATAACAAATACTATGAAGAGAGAAGCAAAGACAGAGAGAGACAGAGAGAGAGAGAGGGATAAATGATAGCCTCTAACTCCGGAGCTTATGGCCTGTAGTGGAGTCTCTGGACCTGCTGGTGTGGAGTCTAGAACAGTTTTCGGATTCAGGATTTGGGCATCCCCAAACAAGCAAAGTTGGGTGAAAAACAGATCCCAGCCGAGTTGTAAATATTCTTACAGTGCCTACATCGATCGTGTGTCTTCTGAGATAAAAAAGGTACATGCTACCCAGAATCCGAATGGTTCCGTCGCAGAAAAATGTCGATTGCGCTCTGAGACCTTCCTTGGTCAGCCTGAGCTCAAAGCCCGGAAGCCGGGAACCAGAACTCTAAACTCTAGATCGACTCTAACCCTCAAAGCGAAAACCCGAGGCCCTACACCCTTCACCACAACCCTAACACAGGGGCCTCAGCAAGGATTTGTGAACTGTTGTATTCTGCTGGAACTACGAAGACAAGAGATGCACAGATAGTATCAGTAGATATTCACACCTCTACATTATGGTTCCAAACCTACGACCCGCCCATCCAAGGGCGCAACCCATGACCAGCGCGGTGGCTACCAGCCTGACTGGGTGCTTTCTTGTTCGGGGTCTATCGGTTGGGGATGTCCAGAAAGATATGATAGAAAAAAAAAGTTTTTTAAACACACTCTCACATTAGCTAGTTAAGTGCTCATAAGGAAGAAACCCCTAAGCTCCCAACCTCATGACACACAAGCCAGACACCTGGCGCTTAAAGCCCTAGGCAAACTAAACCCTTAAATCGCGAGCACACACGACACGACAAACTTTGTTTGCAGCCAATGAAAACCCCCAAAGATCTGTATTTCACCCCTAATTACGAAACCTCCAAGGCCTGTACCAATGCTATGAAATCCTCTTAATCACCCGAGGCACACGGTCTTCATGCCGTTGTTGGAGCCCCCGGAGAGGTCCTCCGCACAAAGGGTGTCTGTGACCCTGAAGACCATTAGTGAACGATTTGGGGTGGAGGGTTCGTGCAGCTTTGTAAACCTAAGCCCCCAAGCCCTGTATGACACGCAGCACGAGGATCGGACATCCGTGATCCCAGAACCATTGCCCACGTTCAGTGTCATCCGTCAGCTGTTCGGCTCAGGCTTAAAGCTCAAGCTCGAAAGGGTTTCAGTTTAAGTACAGAGAACACCTACTTAAAATAAGTGTACCATGATTACACTGCTTTTTGGTAGGACCTTCTATCTGCGGGTCCACAACATGACGAAAACTGCAACAGAAGTTGCTTGTGGTAGTGCGATTTAACCCTCGTCCTGTCCCAAAACCTTCAACCCATCCATGAAGCCGCAACAAAATTCAAAGAACACTAAAACAATTAACAATTGTGCCAGCGTCGATCCCGCAGCAGTGACAGAGCACCGTGTCGACCAAGACGACCGTGACGAGCACGAGCACTACGGTTGATGGACATAATCCTGCATGACCCATAATAAGGAATATATGGAAATTATAGTATATTCCTTATTATGGGTCATGCAGGATTTCTATCATCAACCGTACCACCACGACCACTGACCAGGACTGCCCCGACGACTACTACTTGGAGGCTCATGGGACTTCGTAAGTAAGGTTATAAGCACCTTAATTGGGGTGATAAGTAATTATAAGTATGGTTACCCTATTTATATCCAAAGTTACTAAGTCCCATGATCCTTTAAGTACGACCAAGACGACCACGACAAGCAGAAGACGCGCGGAGACCACCAGGACCCCAGGCAAACTGCTGCCCCCCAGCTACTGGCTGAATTCAGGATCACGGCCACAGCGCTTCTCGCAAATACTGGCGGATTGGAGCACGACCAAACTGCTTCCCCCGAAATCCCACGCCCACCATGCTTCGCCCGAGTATTGGACAATTCAGAAAGAAATGCCTTCCCCAAAGTACTGGTGAGATTCAGCAAAATCTGCACCGCGCGACAGTGGGAGCCGTGTCCCGGGGAACTTTTATGTTGGCCGGCGGTGCGAGCAAAGACGAACTAACCAATTTTCCTTACACTGAATGCCAGAGCTCGATAGTGTTTTCCATCAAAGTGTTCGGAAATGAAGCCCTAGAACCGTGAGCCCTAAACTGCTGCCTAAACACTATGTCTCCTCATGATAAATCACCTGGTTCGGGGGCGCAGCGGACCTCTGATCCATGGCAGCCTGCTTGTGCGGTGTAGGTGCAAGGACTAGGGTTTAGGGTTCAGGGTTTTAGGATTGAGGGATGTTCAGGCTGCAAGGATTAGGGTTTCCTGTCAACGTTTACGTCAGAGGGGGGGCCTCTGAGGGGGGGGGGCGGGGGCATTTCCAGCCCGAGCTCCAACGGCGGAGCAAAAGGATTCGTCTGGCTGTGGAGGTTGGGTATCAAGTGGGGATCTGCTAACTATGCATGACGGCGGAGTGGGATTTGCTGGAAAAGTCTGCCAAAAGCGGCCCCTAAACCCTAAACCCTAAACCCTTAGGCCCTAAACCCCTAAACCCCAAACCCCTAAACCCCTAAACCCCTACACCCTAAACCCTAACTACCCCTAAACCGAAGAAAATGACAAGTACACAGGCTCTGGAGCCTGCATGCCGGGACACGAAACTATGCCTGGTATGTGGGAGTGTCCGAAACTAGGGGTACCTTATTTTGGGGACCTTATAATAAGGATCCTACTCTTTAGGGTACTATGTTAGGGTCCCCTATTTTCAGAACCTCCCATATTGGTGTTACTTGCACTATGATTACAACTAACCAGAGCGCAAATAGTAGTAATTTCTGTGCAAAAGTAACCGTTTCAGAAGCAGTCGTCATCGTCGCTTACGCTGCCGTCGTCGTATTAGTAGCAGTTATTACGAGTAGTAGCAGTGGCAGCAGCGCAAGTACTAGAGTAGATTAGCAAACGCTAGGCAGTTGAGGGACCGGGGCGAACAGATGCAGCAGCATCAGTATTAGTAGTGGTCTGCTCGTTCACGATCAACCTTAAAAGTGGCTATGACCCATTCTGATTGTAGCATTTGCTGATTACTGCTAGGATTGTACCAACAGAACTGAGCAGCAGTAGTAGTAGCGGTAGTGATAGTGGTAGCCGCAGTAGTAGCAGGAGGAAAAGGAGCAGCTGTCGTTGTCGCCGTCGTAGTGACTAGACCTCTACATCTCAAACCCCAACATCCACAAGGATGCCGATGCATACCTGGGTACACTAGTCTTTCTCTTGCGGCCCGTGTGAACCCATATTGTATATTTTTTGAACATAAAGTACCCATGCAGGGATTCCTCTCTGGCCTACGTATGTATTACATAGGCATTGGACCGGTAAGGTTTCTTTGCTTTGGAGACTTATTTTGACACGGGTCACCCAGAGCCTTGGCGGCTGCCTCTGCACGGGCCCAGTCCTCCCCATGTCGCAGTGTAAAGGGCCGTGGGGCTATGTTCAGGTGCGTTAGGACAAGGCTGAGGGTTGCAAGGGGTCTTAGTAGTGGTGTTTGCGGCTGAGAGGTTTTAGGTGTTTGTGGCTTCTCGGTATACCTAAGACTTCAGCCTAACCTCGGAGTTCGGCTTAGGATTGCGGGTTGAGGCTTAGGCTTCAATACAAGCAACCCTAAAACCCCAAACCCTGAACCAAAAACATCCATAAACCCCCTAACCCCTAAACCTCAAACCCCTAAACCTTAAACCCCTAAACCCCCAAACCCCTAAACCCCTAAACACTAAACCCCAAACCCCTAAACCTCTAAACCCCTAAATCCTAAACCTTAAACCCCTAAACCCCCAAACCCCTGAAACCCTAAACCCTGAACCAATCATGCTCACGGCTCGGGACCTGGGAAGTGAGACCTTCAACACCAATCTCATGTCTCCAAGGACTTGAACGGGGTTCCTTTAAGGGATCTACAGGGGTTCCTTGAAGGGATCTATGATCTACAGGGGTTCCGTTTAGGGATCTATGATCTATATCCCAAAATTTGTAGCTGTACGGCTGATGGTAGAAATCCTCCATCACCCATAATAAGGGGATATACCATAATTCCCAGAGTTTAGGGTCCTTAAGGTTATGCAGGATTTGCATCATCAACCGTAGCACCCAACGGAATTCGGCCTGTTGGCCGTACATACTTGTCCTAAGGCTCCATGTACCCACATAGTATATGATTAGGCCTTGAAGTATCTATATGGGGACCCCTTTAAGGCCTAAGTATCTACTATAAAGGTACATGGAGCCTTAACCACTCGGGTCGGTGAAATGGCAATCCTTCGTAACGCCGATCACTGTGCTTTCATGATCAGATACGTTCCTGCACCCCCCCCAAACGCCTTAACTACACCCTAAAACCTATCAATCCCGAACTGTTCTAGGTGCCTCCCAGGAAAGCCACAAACTTAAGCACTGCCTTAGGGACCTTAGGATGGGGGGGCTTTCGGGTTTAAGACCAATGATACGCTGGCTTCTTCCTGGAGGCCGCTTATTTTAAAGAGCAGAGCCTGTTTTCCGTCAGATAAGACTTCAAGTCCAAGAGTATCCTACCCAGAGGCCCCAAAGTAGTTCGTTTTTGGGTCTCATATATAGAACCATATAAAGTAATCCCAAAAGGGAACTAGTAGACTAAGCCGATACTGCGTGGACTCTCCGGGGACACGGCTACTGATCCTCAGGAGAGTGGGGTTTCAGGGTTTAGGTTTAAAGGGAACTCCAGAAAGTTGGAATATGGACTAATGGTAGGATCCCCTATCATTTACCTTAAAGTACGTACCTTAAAGGGGTTACGATAATGATATTCCAACTTTCTGGCCCTTTAGGCTTTACCGGCCCGAGGTCTCCACAGTAATAATAGTAATACTAGCAAACAAAAGGACAGAAAAAGTAACAACAGTAATAATGCACAAACTCTCCACACAGCTAGGGTTTAGGGTTTAGGGGTTTAGGGGTTAGGGTTTGGGGGTTTAGGCTTTTAGGCTAAGTTTTACGATGCTTACTATCCGTGGGACTCCAAATAGCCCCAAAGTAGGTAGTAGTTATTCACTTTAGCCCGGCAAGGTAGGTACTTTTTGTATACTTGGAGCCTTAGGGTTAGTGTTCCTACAAACGGTTCCAATCGCGCATCTATAGTCATACTTCTTGTTCCTGTCAATGATGTTGTAGTCATGAAGCTGTTTCTCACAGCCATTATTACTACAGCTAGTAAGTGTGACTTCTGGCAGTCCTAGCATTGTGATGTTCATCCTCACTATCACGGCTATTACTTCCTGTAACCGCCGTTCGTAGGGCTCTTATATACAACCCGCCGCTTCAGAGAGCGGAGTAGCCGAGGATGTGGCTCGGTCATTCGTCGTGTCTGCACCATCCTGTTGGGTTTACAGTGAACTCCAGAAAGTTGGAACATGGATTTAGGATGATTGGTGCTAGGATTCCCTTTACTTTACAGTAAGGTTATGAGGATTATGATGTTCCAACTTTCTGGCTTCTACTGTAGGGCTTAGGGCCCACCGTGAACCCCAGGGTTTCTTAATCAGGTACCTACATTACCCTTATTGATCCCTTATAGTACCCTTATAGATCCTTTATAGTAGCCCTTATAGGCCCCTGTAAAGCAACCCTTATGAAGGCCCAAAGTACAGGGTTTAGGTGGGCTCACGGTTCACGGTTTGGGACCTGGCGTTGTGTTTTCGAGGATCTCTTGGAATGCTGGAAAGGTGTTATGTCAAGGATTAAGCGCTGTTTGCATGTTTTCCTACCAGTACTCTATGACGGTTTTCACTTCACGCTTCTTCATGTGGGTCTTTGAGAGGAGTTGCGTAACAGATTTTCTTGAACATCAATGGCTTCCACTCAGGGGCCGTATGACGAGGATGCTGCTATCCGTTACAGTAGAGTTACCAGTACAAGTACCAATAGGAGACGGAGAAGGAGTGGGACTAGGAGGAGGAGCAGTAGTAGTAATATAATTAGTAGTAGTAGAAGTAGTAGTAGTAGTAGTAGTAGTAGTAGTAGTAGCAGTAGCAGTAGCAATAGCAGTAGCAGTAGCAGTAGGAGTAGTAGTAGTAGTAGTAGTAGTAGTAGTAGTAGTAGTAGTAGTAGTAGTAGTAGTAGTAGTAGTGGTACTAGTAGTGGGAGTAGTAGTAGCAGTAGCAGAAGCAGAAGCAGAAGCAGAAGCAGTAGCAGTAGCAGTAGCAGTAGGAGTACGAGTAGTAGTAGTAGTAGTAGTAGTAGTAGTAGTAGTAGTAGTAGTAGTAGTAGTAGCAGTAGCAGTAGTCGTAGCAGTAGTAGGAGCAGAAGTAGGAGAGTGATGCCGGGCAGAGCAGTAGCAGTAGCAATAGCAGTAGTAGTAGCGGTAGTAGTAGTAGTAGGAGAAGTAGGAGAAGTAATGCCGGGCAGTCGTCGTCGTAGTATTAGTAGCCGTACGAGCAGTAGCAGTAGTAGTTTTAGTAGTAGCGGTAGTAGTAGTAGTAGTAGTAGTAGTAGTAGTAGTAGTAGTAGTAGTAGTAGTAGCAGTAATAATAGTAGTAGTAGTAGTAGCAGCAGTAGCAGTAGGCAGTAATAGTAGTAGTAGTAGTAGTAGTAGTAGTAGTAGTAGTAGTAGTAGTAGTAGTCGTAGTAGTAGTAGTAGTAGAAGTAGTAATAGTCGCGGTCGCCGTAATAGCAGTAGCAGTGGTAGCAAGGGGACGAGGAGCAGCGACAGCAGTAGTAGCAGCAGCATCCACAGCAGTGGTAGTGGTAGTAGTAATAGCAGTAGTCGACTTAGTAGAAGTCGCAGTAGTAGCAGTAGTAGTAGTAGTAGTAGTAGTAGTAGTAGGACTAATTGTAGCAGCTGCTGCAACAAGAGCTAGAGCAGCAAGGGTTAGCGGGCATCATCGCTATCATGCAGGCCTACTGCTTTTGCGACGTCTGACAAGTTGCCGTAGGATTATGTTCTGCTCCTTGCTTAAAGCTTGTACTAGCGGTGCTACCAGAGTAGCTGTTCCATTCACATGTGTGGCTGCTATCACGTTAGGGTCCCCTCTCCGGCTTTACACCTGCATCTGCATGTTCCCAAACATGCTTGAGCCATAATTTCCTAGCTCCGGGACCATTACCTGTCTCATCCGGGTGATGATGATGATAGCAATAATAATTTTACTGTAATGAAGAAGACCCAAAGAGGAAGGAAGTTACACGGTGAAGAAACTGACAATTAGTCGATCATGTCGAAGATGCCACTGCACTCACAGGCCTGGTTGAACTGTTGAAGCGACTGGCCATCCAGGCTGGGTTCTCCGCCCTGTTCGAGAGCCTGGAGCCGGGGTCCGGGTAGTCTCTGGCTGGGGTGTAGTTGCAGCGCGTTAGATAAATAAGAAAGGTTTGGAGGCCCCTTATACTATAATAAAAAAGAACCTCCAAAATAGTATAGGTAATCATTTAGGCCCCGACATTACACTGCCCATACATATCATCGGGGAATCTATGTACTGGACTTCTTGAAGAGTCTTGTTGGACTTCGGATGAGAACTCAGGCACTCCGGGGTACTGGTATTGAGAGCCTCCGATCGAATACGTCTGCGATTTGGGAGATTGGGCTTGAGTCAGGATGTCGGGTTGTGGGTTCCCGGGTTTGGGTTTAGGGTTTAGGGTCTAGGATGTCGGGTTGTGGGGGCTTCAGGTTCGGGGTTTGGTGCTGTTGTCGGGGTGTTTTGTTTGTATCGCTTAGGGCTATGAGTTGGCCGCAGGTTTTGAAGCTTCGTCAGAAACGACTCGAGTATCGATGCGTTCGGGGGCGACTCTAAACTATAAGGACGATCATGGGTTCGGGAGTGACTCTAAAGGGGCTCTACTAAACTTTATAAGGACGATCATGGCTTCGGGATGGTGATATGCATATTTAAGATCTTGTGGTGCATATAATATGGTTGTGATAAGAACAGTAAAGCTGCGGAGTATCTGCGCGAGGTAAGCCAGCTAGAGGAACTGATTCATCAAGCCCAGGAAACACATAAGATAGTTTGATCTTTGCGCGAGAACAACTGCTGCAAGTCTGTCGCCAAAGCATAGGCACAATGTCTTAGCCAAAGCCTGCTGCACCAGACTGCAATCACTACCAACACAACTCAATGTTTCTGACAAGTAGTAGAAAGAAGACTGACGACTATTCTCGTTGAACCTTAGACTTTGTTTTACTAAGTTAAACACCAACAGCCAAGTAAGAGGGCCTAGGATCTCATCGTGAATACCCGCTATAATGACAGGCATGTGCCCAACCTTATAAGAGGCCTACACCGCACCAAAGATATACCACAAAGTGCAGCATACAATCCACAGGCAACCCTCCAAACCATACTCCACCTATCCATCAACCCCCTAAGCGAACCCGAAACCCGACACCTCAAAACCCTACACATCCACACCCTAAACCCCTAAACTCAAAACCCCTAACCCTAAACTTGAAACCCTGAACCCATAAATCCTCAACTCTAACCCTAAGGCTCGAAAGAGCCCAAAAGCCTTACATAGTTAGTATGGTCTTTGGGCCCAAAAGCATTAAAATCTGAGTCCTTAGAGCCTAAGGGTAAACCCTAAACCCTCCAGCCTTGAACCGCACACACCCTAAACTGTAAACCCTAAACACCCAAGTTTCTGAAGCCCACCTGGATGGATCCCTGCTGCCCCGCTTCTTCTCGGAGTTCCTGCTCACCTTGGGTTTAAGGTTTACCTTAACCCTGAAGGACCTGCCTATTTTTAAGGACTTATATAAGGAAATCATAATAAGGAACCCTAAGAAGGTAGGTTATTCAGGGTTAAGGTAGGTTTCGAGCTCCGAAAATTTGGGGCTTAGGGTGTAGTGTTTGGGTGATAGAGGTGCGGGTTCAGAGTTTCAAGTTTAGGGTTTAGAGTGTAGGGTTCAGGGTTTGGGCTTAGGGTTCCCAAGATTTTGTGGGGTCTCGGGCTCCAGCTGGAGCCCGAGACCCCACAAAATCTTGAGAACCCTAATCGGACTTAGGGTATTCGAGTCAAGGGTTGAACTGCTTGGGGCTTACAGGCTTCGGGCTCAGGGTTCCAGGGTTTGAGTTTAGGAAACCCTAAACCCTAAACCGTGGCTCCGGGTGACCATCGGGCTCCCATTATCTAAAGTTCAGGCCCATAACCTGTACACATCCTGACACTGAATGACCCGGAATCCGGAAAACAACACACGACTGAACACACACAAACCCTTGCAACACCGGGCACACCCGTTAATACTGTAAGAGCCCAAACACAGAAACACGATCTACCTTTTGGGTCAGAAGTCTAAAGACAGAATCCGCTTTGGGCTGTTTGAATTGTTTGGGGAAGCCTAAACCCTAGACCTCAAACACCCGCTAAGCCGTTGTAAGAACCGCCAAGCCCGAAACCGCTGAACTTCCCCTGTACAATAACCTATAGAACCCCTCCAAAGCCTTGTAGGAACCTGTACCCTTACAGAAACCAACATAGTAACCCTAAGCCCTAAACCCTACCCTTCACTTACGGTGGCCCATCTAGCAACCACTATAGAAGTCCTTGAAACTATAGAAGCCCCCAAAGAAGGGCCATCCCCAACTCCTCGAAAATGAGCACCCCCGCGCGCTACCAGCTCTTCTGCGGAGGCCTGGTAAGGGTTTAGGGTGTATAGGCACCCTAAACCCTAAACCCTAAGGGATGAAAAAGGTGTAATATGAGGGGTTGGGGATTTATAGGACAGTTGTGTTACTTTTTGAATGCCCCTGTTCCAGCTGCACACGTAAATTACTGTTGAAAGGCACTTGAAGGAGAGGGTACTTGTGCGGCCCGGACAGCGTAAGGATTAGGGTGTATAGGGTTGACTGCTTAGGGTTGAGCGCTTTACGGCTCCATGGTTGAAGGCTTCAGGGCCTATAAATAAGAGCTTAAGGGACATGTGTTGCCTTTTGCCCACTCGGCGCAGCACTTGGCTTACCCTTAAGGCGCATAGACTTGAAACTAACGAACGAGAGGGCCTGTATACTGATTGAACTATGTTGATCCGTGCTCGAAGTGGATACTTCTATATAAGGAGGCATTCCATCTATCCCTGCACAACAAGAACCTGTACATGCATGTGCACACATGCATGTGTTCTAGCTGCTCATCCTGACAGTATATTTATCGCCGGCAATGGCGAACATGTGACTCTGGATTTCATCCCCGTCAGCATCGCTGCCACCATCCGCATCAACATCGTGAACCCCACCCTCTCCATCATCAACAATCGCAGAAGGATTCCAATCGCCACTAGTGCTGCTACTGTTGCTGCTATTGTGGCTGCTACGATCACTAATACGAGGCCCACCACCCTCTACCGCCACGGCCACCCCCACCGCCACCGCCACCGCCACCGCCACCGCCACCGCCACCCCCACCACCACCACCACCACCACCACCACCACCACCACCACCACCACCACCACCACCACCACTACCACTACCACCACCCCCGCCACCACCACCACCACCACCACCACCACCACCACCACCACCACCACCACCACCACCACCACCACCACCACCACCATCGAAGTGGTGTAACATAGGGGCCTTAATAATTAGAATAGGGTTTTAGGGGCTCCTTCATATAATTATAGTATAACATACCCCCAAACCTTATTCTAATATTTAGGGCCCCAATAGTATCTCTAACCTAAGGTCAAAATAATGTATCTCCAACCCCAAGGCTCAAAATAGCCCGAAAGCCTTATAAAGTATGATGGTCTTTGGGCCCAAAGGCCTTAAAATATGAGTCCCTGAGAGTAACCTAGGGTCACTTATTGAGTGCGGGAACCCCGCTGCCTTCTCCATAGCGAAGCCGAGGCGGTCGTTTTCGAAGTCGAAGGCCACGACGTGCCTTGCAAGACATGATGGTTTCCAAAAATAGCGGTACCTTAGAGTTCCTTTCAAGGGCTACTATAAGGGTACTATAAGGGTTCCTTTGAAGGGTGGGTTTAGAGCTTCCGAAAATTAGGGGCACCTTGATTTAAGCTCCTTATGATAAGGATCCTACTATTGAGGGTATTATACTAGGGTCCCCTATTTTCGGAAACCCCCACATGGATCCGGAAGGGCTGAGGGTGTAGGGATTTAGGGTCTGGGGATTTCGGGCTGAGGATGTTTAGGGTTTCAGGGTTTCTTCGGGCACCATACGAGTTTAGGGGCTAGGGTATAAGAGTTCATGTAGCATAGGGGCCTTAAGGCCTAAGTAAAGAATAGAACACGGCTTTGAGGGATAGTACAGTCTTAGAGCACGAGTATGTATGAAAACATTATGTATATACATACACATAATTTTCTCACCTCTTTTAATCTGAAACCGATTTTTACCCTATACCCTATACTCTCAGAACTTCAGCTAAAACAACCAAACTGCCAAAGCCTCAAAGCCCAAATGCACAAACGACCTGAGGGCCTGAAACCGTTCTAAACCCTTCCGCATCAACAGCGAACCCTGCGAAACCTGCAGAAAGCCGTATGCAACTCATTGAAGTCCTAAGAAGCCAGCGAAGACATGAACATTTCACTAGTGGTATGCCCCGAAGGACGGTCAACATATTATCCTGAAGATTCCTGTATGCTGAACAACGCCAACAAGTTTGTAACACAGAAACGTTATGACCCCAAAGTCCATGCCACATCCGAAAACTCAGCCGCAACTGCCCTAAGCCTGGCTATGAACGCTAAGCTTAAATCCTCTAAGCCCTTAGCCTTCAATCCGTAAGCCCCAACAATTATTGACACCTGGTATGTACATGTGGCCGGTCCTTCGCAAGAAGATGTCGCCCAGAACCCAGAGGTTCACTGGGCCTTGGGATCTGCGTGCTCAGCGGCTCGAAACGGGTGACGACATGGTTTTGTTATACTTGGAGGTCCATGGGACTTAGTAAGTACAATTATAAGTACCTTCACTGGGGTTATAATTAGTTGTAGTATAGTTACCTTACTTATAACCGTAGATACTAGGTGCCATGAACCTTTACGTAGGAGTCTCTATAAGGGTTACCAGAAGGGATCTACAAGGGATTTGGGGTTTAGGGAGCACTGTAAGGGTTCAGGGCTCTTAGACCCCATGGTTGAGAAGTTTAGGGCCCATGTGTTAGGGACAAGTTTAGAGAAGATTTAAGGGTTGGGGTTTCAGGGGAAAGGATTCAAGGTTTCAGGGTTTAGAGTTTAGTGTTTAGGGTTAGTAGCAAATAAGGCTTCTAGCCTTATCTCCGGAACCCAAAGTACGAAGCCCTACATCGGGTTTAGGCCTCAGTGTTCAGGGTGCGAGTGGCTTGCTCTTTTCATCGGTTTGTCAGGAGTTTGCAGCGTTTGGCAGGGTTAATAGGTTCCTTTTGCAGAAGGCGCGGTGAGGCTTTAGGGTAAGTAGGGTTGGTACTAGCCGGTTACCTTTGATTTGTTTGAGCCTCCCATAAGGCTTCCTGTAGATCTTTCCAAAACCACCACCTAGACAAGTAGCTGAACCCTGAACCCTGAGCCATAAACCATAAACCGTACAACTTCTAAACCCAAGCTTCGATCTTCCCGGATCCTTGTCCTGTGTTTCCGGGCTCAAGACTGATGGTTACAGGGTTCAAAATATGTTTACTTGGGAGGTGCGAGGGGTTTGAGATTCCAGTTACGGATGATGACATAATTGCGATAGAGACTGAATGATATTGGCCCTAGGGCATTCGTGAAGTCTAGATTTCTGGATACCCAAACCCTCTTCCGAGTGAGCCTAGCTCCTGAGTCCTAAAGGCGCAAACACGATGCTCTAAATCACAAACTCCTTCGTCTATATAGAGTTTCAGGTGTCGGTGCACTGAGCACGAACCCTGTCGGATAGAAGCTAGCTCAGAGGCAAGAATGTGGATCCCCAGATACAGCGACGACATTAATCATAGCGTTGGGCTGATGGTTTAAGGATTAGCCTTCAGTTCCATACCAGATGTCTGAATATGACGCCGAGAAGCCATTCTGTAATCTTCGTCCCCGAAGCTGTGCGTCACCTCCCTGCGCGCAGATACCGGTGGGAGTGCTGGGCGCTTACATGCACCAGGGGAACTAGGGGAACTAGAGTTATGGGTGTTGTTCCAAACCGACCCTGAGGCTCCGGTTGGCCGTATAATCGGCTATGAAATCACTGCGTGTGTCTCAGTGTGTGTGTGTGTGTATGTGTGTGTGTGTGTTTGTGTTTTTTTTGTGTGTGTGTGTGTACAGTATATGTATTTACGCATGCATGCATGTGTATATATATATATACACACATACTAGTACACATAAGCATACAGAGATGCATATCTATATCCTCAGTATTCCTCGGTTTTAAAAAAGTCCTACATAACCTGGCACCTCCAGCCGGCGCCCTTGGTTCTTGGCGCAGTATCCAGGCCTAGGGGCAGACATCACCGGGGCTTGGCATGTTGCAACTACGGAATGACACGGGGGTTATGAGGTTTTAAGGCTACTTTTCGTACATTCGTTCAGGGCTCGGGACTGGGAGGTTCGAACAGATTTATTCGAAATGGACCTAAGGGTTTAGGATTTGGTGTGTTTGCGGCCCTCAGCGATTATGTTGTTCCACAGGTTTCAGGTTCAATATTGGGACCTTGCATGGCCTGATAGGGCACACCAACAGGCCAAATGACTCCGATATAGACATCATGTCGAGGGGTCGAGGGAGAGGCACCCTGGACTTAACTAATTACACTGAACTTACGACTAAGATAGGAGCCCTAATGGTTAGAATAGGGTTTGGGGATATGCTATACTATATTTATAAGAAGATCACCACTCCCCCTTCAACAAAAAACACAAAAAAAACAAACTAGCAATTATCTATTTCCTTACATTAAGGTGAAGGATTTGTGAGTCAGGTCCGTCGGGATCTCAGCCCTGAACCCTCGTCAGAATATTTCGAATGTAAACTAGGATTTAGAGTGCAGTGCCCTGGTCCACGTCGGGGGCTTAAAATTCGGGATTTCTGGATTAGCCCTGATTGAAGGGGGGTGGATTTCAAGAGTTACGCTGCTTTCGGGTTTGTAACGGCTGATTCTAGGCCCACTGAAAGGTCGGAGCTCTAGAGTGGGTGCAAACTAGGTTCTTGAGTAGCCCCTTTATGATAAGGCACCCTTTTCCTCCGGGTATAAAGATTCAACTCACGAGCTGACATAGGAACAGACCTGTGACATGTTGCTGAATTTATGCCACACACAGGAAGCCCTAGTCAACAAACAGCACAAATCCTAAGCTCCGAACCCTAAACCTCACATCCTATACCCTATGCTAGAGCACAATATTTCGAAGAAGCTGAGGAAGCTGCGAGGGTTCCTTCACCTTCCGCCCCTCGTTTGTCAAAAGCCAGGTCGTCTCCTCAATGACCTTACAAGGGTTGAGGGATGAGGGTTAAGGCTGAGGACAGGGCTCACAGGTGCGTGATGCGGTTTGACGTGGATTTTGTATAACGGCGCCATAGGCTGGGCCTCACAAGGTTTGGATGAAATGGCTCCGGGCTTCAGGCTGAGGGGCATTGGGTTTCGGATATATTTCGAGAAACCCTCAACCACTCAATCACGCCCATGTAATATGGGGGCCTTAACAACTACCTATACTATTTGGGTCGTATACACTTCAGTTGACACTAGCCCTAGATCCCTGGAGTCAATGGGCGCCAAGGGTCTGACAAACGACAGCGACGTCAACGTCCTTTTTGCAACGCAGCTTCGGTTTTGGCTTGCCGGTGATGACGGTGGTTGTTGTCGCGATGGAGAGGGATGAGAGGAGTATGTTGCTGGTTGTTGGTTGAAGCTTGCAAAGATCTTTATACCAGTGGTCCGTGCTGTTGACAAAAGACACTGGTCATCTCGCTGTGGCTGCTGGTCATGAAAATGGTTGCCATGCAGGAGGATGGTCACGAGGGAAGGACGAAGAAGGGGCTGATGAACAGCGACGGGTAAATATTTCAATAGGTCTGTGGGCATTGATGGTTTGCAGCTGTGCATTGTGAAGATGCAGCTGATGTTGCCGATCAGATAGTCCTTGGCTTGGAAGTCCACCCCCCAAGCCCTAAACATCCCTAAACCCTAAACCCTTATAAACATTAAGTCCCTGAACATTAAGCCCCTAAACCCTAAAGCCCCCAAACCCCAAATCCCTGCACTCTAAACCCCAGCGCAGTCTCTGAGTGGGGAGCAGTTCCATTTGCTGCTCGAACAAGCTCCGTGGTGCAACCTCAGCGGGTCCCCAATCTGAAACAGGGGCATTGACAACTAGAGTAGGGTCTTGTGGTATCTTATGCATACTGCATACTAATTATATTTCATACAGGTTGTAATCATTGTAATCATCCAGCAGATTCGGCTCTCTGTGTTCGCCTGGGCCCCGTCGGAAGCGGTCGGAGGTTATCACAGAAACCCCCGCCACGCCTCCCCGCGGCGCTGCTAAGCTCTTCGTCTGGACATGACATGACACTAAGCCCTTAACCGTAGTAAAACCTAAAAAGCCCTAAACCCCTAAACCCTAAACCCTCAACCCCTACACCCTCGACTTAGTAAGTAGGGTTATAAATAAGGTATCCATGTTTATAACCCCAATTAAGGTACTTATAACCTTACTTGCTAAGTCCCATGATCCTCAAAGTATATGGAGTGTTACAAGGGTGCGGGTGATGCAAGCATCTTGCTGTTTCTAGGCTTGATTCATGCGGCCTTAACTATTCGACTGGGTTTTGGGGCCTTCCATGCCCAACAACGTCCACAGAAGCCCTGTTTACCCGAAGCCCTCAACCCCAAGTTGACCTCAACCCCAAGTTGCGCCCGTGATCCTAAAGCCCGACACGCTGTGAGCGCAGACTTCGACCAGCTTCTGAAACAAAGTAGGGTCCCAATATGCACTCACCGATATGCCTAAGTCTGTTTGTGGCTACCAAAATCTCCGCCATGTACCCTGAACCCCTGAAAGGAACCCCTATATGGAACCCTCTAGGTCCTCTTTGCATTATGGCCCTTGGAGAACTTTTCAAAAAGCTCTAAACCAAACCTCACAAGCTACTTGGAGGTTCAGGGGACTTAGCAAATACAGCTATAGGTACCTCAAGTGGTGCCATAGCTAAGCTTGAGTACCTTGCATAAAACCCTAGTTACCAAGGGAACATAAGCACCCTGTAGTACCCTTTAAAGTTTTAAAGGAGCCCCTAGACCTAGATACTAAGTCCCATGATCCCTCAACCCTAAACCCTAAACCCCTAAACCCCTAAACCCTAAACCCCTAAACCCTAAACCCTAAACCCCTAAAACATGATCCCTCAAGTGCACACCCAGAACTCAGGGCCCCCCTGCGCTCGCCGTTGCTGAGGACCTGCGAGATCTCCTCCTTCATCAGCGTGCCGGTTCCTGAAAAAAAAGGGCCCCGGGTGTCCAGGGCGCTTTTTGTGTTTTCGGCTCCTGGCACTGGATTAGAGCTAAGGGTATGTATGTATACATATACATACATATACATACATACATATATATAATATATATATATATATATATATATATATATATATATATATATATATTATAGAACCCAGCTGCAAAACCCTAGTATGAAACCCTTGACGAACTACATTCTTGAAACCTAGTACAGTATGGAACCCTTGCAGGAACCCTACATAGGACGCGGGCACAGGAACTTTTCAAATAACCCTAAACCCTAAACCCATAAATCCTAAACCCCTAATTAAAGCCTAAAGCCTGAAACCCCAAAGCCTAAAGCCTAAACCCTAAACCCTAGCCCCTAAACCCCAAAGCCTAAAGCCTAAACCTTAACCCCTGAACCCCTAAACCCTACATCCCAAACCCTGAACCCTAATCCCTAAACCGGCAGAGCCTGGGAGATCGGAAAGCTTCATTTCTAAATCCTAAACCCTGAACCCTAAGCCCTGACAACTAAACTCTAATAGGCGGAGCCTGGGAGATCAGAAAGCTTCTAAATTAAACCCTGAACCCTAAACCCTAAACCCCCAAAGCCTAAACCCTAAACCCCCAAAGCCTAAACCCTAAACCCCCAAAGCCTCAACCCTAAACCCCAAAGCCTAAACCTAAAGAGCCTGGGAGATCGGAAAGCTTCTTCAGCAACTCGCCCACGAGTCCGGCCTGCGGCTTCATCGGGAGCGACAGGATGCTTTGGGCCACAAAAAACCGGACTTGGGTCCTTTTAAGGGTTTTATAAAGGGTTTAGCGTTCCTTTAAGGGTTCCTTTTAAGGGTTTTACAATGGGTTTAGGGTTCCTTTAAGGGTTCCTGTAGGAGTTCTATAAAGGGTTTAGGGTTCCTTTAAGGGTTCTATAAACGGTTTAAGGTTCCTTGAAGGGTTCTATAAAGCGTTTCGGGTTCCTTTAAGGGTTCTATAAAGGGTATAGGGGCAGCTATCTCAGACCAAACACCTTGTGCTGAGATGCCCTCCGGGCCCACCTGCCATTGCGGCGTGCCCCGGTCTATGAAGAGCCCCCGTCTCCCGCAGAGCTCATTGCCCATCCAGACGACAACCACGACGACCTCGAGATAGGCGGGAGGGCTTCATTGACGACCTCGGACACCAGCGTGAGGACGGCTTCCACAATACTGTGAAGATTGCCGCCCCAGATGGCTTTCTGCTTAATATTCGCATAGTGTTGCAGAACGTGGCCTGGCTTGGTGAGGGCGCGAAAGTCGGCGAGCATCTCGCCATGGAGATCAGCGTAGAATCACTGACGATTATCGCAGCTTTGAAGGGTTCTATAAAGGGTATAGGGTCTCTTGAAGGGCTCTATGAAGGGTTTAGGGTTCCTTTAAGGGTTGCTTTAAGGGTTCTATAAAAGGTTTAGGGTTAATGAGTTCCTTTCAGGGTGTGGGGTTTAGGAGTTTCGGGGTTTAGGATGGAGGGCTCAGGGTTCTACAAGAGGGTTCAACAAAAGGCTTCCTTTCAAGGGTTGGATAGTAGCGTTGTATAAAGCGGGGGGTCTTTAGGGTTCCTATAGCAGGGTTGTATAATGGGGTTCCTTTAAGGGTTCTTTCAGAATCTTTTGCAATGAGGTTCCACTAACTGTCGGGTTCTATAGCAGGGTCCCTGAAAGGGTTTTAGAATAGGATTGGCGTGGTGGGCACACTTCCCGAGAACTGCAGCCCTGATAGAAGCACATCAACGCACAAAGTATGCCAGAGTGAAATCCAAAATATCTTGCAGGAAAAGATGTACTTATCTGCACAACCTTCATACTCCTTAAACCCTATGATGCTCAGACTCAAAACCCAGATCCCAAACCCTAACCTGGTTAGCTTATATTCATAAGTAGTACCGCTGCAACAGCAACCACAGCGAAATGGCACACAAAAACAGAGCCCACAGCCCGAAGGCTTGATTCAAACCCTAAACCCTGAAACCCTAATCCCTGAATGCTGCCCTAACAGACTGAACCTAGAATTCCCACAAGCTCCTGGAAACCGGAACCAAACAACCCCCTGCCAGACCCTTGAAGGGTCTAGGGTTTAGACTTTGGGCCTAGGGTTTAGGGTCTCAGAACTATGAGTCATCCGCGCCTGCCCCTCGTGTTTATCATCTGCTGCCTTCACAGCCTCCTGCATGCCTTGCAAGACCTGAACAGGTTTTAGGTGCAGGTGACAGGGTCTACTTCTTTTTGGTACTAGGGTCTATATGAAGTGCGCTTGGGGGTTTAGGATTAGGGTTTAGGGTTTAGGGTAGTTTAGGGTAGTTTAGGGTTTAGGGCCGTTTAGGGTTTGGGATTTGGGACTCGGGTCTCCAGGTGGCTGGAGCTACAGCCATGCGATCCCGCGACACGAAGTCTGAAACCCTAAGGCTCCATGTACCCGCATAGTATATACTTAGGCCTTAAAGTACCTATATAGGGACCCCTTTGAGGCCGAAGTATCTACTATAAAGGTACCATGGCCCCGTATACCCTAAACCCTATAGAACCCTTATAGAACCCCTTAAAGGAACCCTTATAATCTACTATAAAGGTACATGGAGCCTTTGGGAAACGGTGCACCCGGGATCGTCTCCATCCTTTCGTGGCAAACGCAGGATGATTTAGAAGGGGCCCCCACCCTGTACTAGTGGTATAATAGGCAATAATAGGGCCCTAATATACTATAATAGGAAATAATCGGGCCCTAATATACTGTAGTAGGAAATAATAGGGCCCTGATTTACTATAATAGGAAATAATAGGGCCCTAATATACTATAATAGGAATATAATAGGGCCCTTATAATATAATCCTTATAGTCACTATTACATGGTGGGGGCAGCTTCTAAAGGATGATCTTTTCGAAGATGGAGTCGACCACCGTCACGCACAAGGCGGCCTCCATGCACACTCGTCTGCGTACTCCAACATCGTGCCGTCACCTTCTCGAAGGTTTTCCTCCTACCGCATCAAACTCCCTAAGGGTCCATGTGCCCAAATAGTATATATATTTTGGCCCCAATGTACCAATATAGGGACTACTTTAAGGTCAATGTATGTACTATTTAGGTACATGGACCCTTAGGGACGGCAAAACGCCGGATGACTGTGTACAAGAAGGGACCCGGAGCGCTGCCTGCAAGACGTACATCAAAGGGGAAAAGGAGGGACCCTTAATGGGGACCCCTACCCTATAATGGGCTATATAATGGGTATATAATGGCTTTATCAGGGGTATATAGCTAGGTGTCCTTTTAAGGGTCCCTCCTTTTACCCTTGGAAGAAGATAAAGCAACATGCTCCGATTCCCGCTGAGGACAAATCCGAAGCACCGGGTCAACAGGTTCTCAACTTGGCTTTCCACACTCCGCAAACCACAACTCAAGTCAAACATCCGAAAGCCCTGACATAAAAACTATAGCCCCTTAGAGCCATAAAACAAACAAAAAACAAATATATATATATATATATATATATATATATATATATGTTTAATATTCTCTTGGGCTTTATCTGAACAAAAATAATAGAAATCCTAAGGAGACTACAGAAAAAACCCTCAACATGGACTCCCAATCAACCTTCGGATCTCAAAGGCCAGTATCAACGGAAACTCAAATCCGCCCGCACCCAAACCAGCCGTGAACAATCCGAAATCAGAACCCGCACAACCATATCTAACCACCCCTCAATAAAGAAACCCAAACAACCCAAATACTCAAAACCCTAACTAAACCTTATAAACTCTGAGAACCCAAATCCCTCCAAACCCTCTAGTACCTTTATAGAACAGTACCCTTATGGAACCCTATGGAATCTTATTGAACCATTAAAGGAACCCTTACTAAACCCTTAAGGACACATTGGAAAGGACCCTTGCTAAACCCTTAGAGGAACCCTTACTAAACCCTCAAAGGAACCCTCAAAAAGAACAGCTCCCCGAACCCCAATATAAAGAACCCGATTATTGAACGCCTAAAGGAACCCCAGTATAAAACCCTGTTTTACAACCCTTAAAGGAACCCTTCTCATAAAAGGAAGCCTAAACCCCGAAGCCTTTATAGAACCCTTAACGGACCCCCCCTTTATAAACGGAACCCTAAACTCCTAAACCCTTTATAGAACCCTTAAGGGCTCCTCCTTAAAGGGCTCCTTGAAGGGCTCCTTAAAGAGTTCCTTTAATTTACGGGCTCCTTTAAGGGTTCCTTTTAAGGGTTCCTTTTGAAAGGGGCCCCTTAAGGAGAGCTCCTAGAAGGAAAGTGCGGGAACCTCGCTCATCTCCTTGGCTCTTGCGACCTCCTTCTTTACTTCAGCCTGCCCGGGGGGGGTACCTGGGAATCCAAAAACCTACCGTTTTAAGGGTCAGACCCTCTAATTAAGGGCTCATAACCTACTATTTTGTGGGGTTTGGGGATACAGGTAGGGTCTATAGGAGTTTAGGGGCTTTAGGGGTTTTAGGGTTTAGGGTCTATAGGAGTTTAGGAGTTTAGGGGTTTTAGTGTTTTAGGGTTTTAGGGGTTTTAGGGTCTACCCTAAGGCTCCAAATAGTTTTAGGGGCGTTGTGGGCGAGGGTTTGGGCTTTGGGGGCTAAGGTTTAAGATCTCACTACGAGGGTCCAGGAGCACTAGGGTATAGGGGCTTGGGGTAAGTTTAGGGTCTAGGGGTTCAGGGGTTTGAGGTCTAGGGGCTTTACAAGGTTTAGGGTCTAGGGGTTTTAGGGTTTAGGGTCGAGGGGTTGAGGGGTTTAAAGTTTAAAGTCTATGGGCATTGCGATATCTTAGGGCTTTAGGGTCTAGGCGTGTACTGGGCCTAGGGTTTCGGAGCTTTGGGGTCTAGTGGTTTATGGGTTTAGGGTTTGGGGGTTTTGGGCGTTTACGTCGGGTACTGCCCCCACCCTATAACAGTCTAGATTATAGGGGTCATAAGAGGAGTGAATACTATCCAACTGTCAACTAGTGGGGGCAGTAACCAATCTTAAGCCCCTACTTTCGGTAAGCTGTGCTGGAGAGTCCTTGGTGAATCCTCTCTGCTATGAAGTCCTAAATGAAGACCAGACCTAGATGCATCGAGTCATGAAGCGACAGCATACACATGCTAAACTAGGGAGGTTCTTGTTAAGGGGTTTAACTTAAGTTACTGCAAGAGGAATTTGTAGCAAATAACATGGTTTCTTTATCATTGTAACTTACTCGCATTCCTTAGCAAGAACCCAGTACATCCTAAACCCCAAACCAAGAAACCAGCCTGGAAACCTTAACGCTCGAAACACTGAGCTCTAGACCCTATGCCCGATTCATGGACCTAGTCACTAGTCTAAGTGCATATTAGGAGTGTGTGTACATATATATATATATATACATATAAAAAAACATATATATATATATATGTATATAGTTCTAACCACAATGATGATAACATAAGTAAACATCATGGCCAGATTAACAACAGTAGGAATGGCAATCACAAGATAACAGCAGCAACAGTATAACAACTAATAACAGTGTATGTGTGCATGTATACACGTAAAATATGTATGTACACCTGCATAAAACCCGGGACCTATGTAAGAACAATGATTAACAACTAAATTCTGACTTTCCCCCCTCCCGAGTCCCAAACAAGGTGCACCTTGGTGGGCGGCTTGAAGACATCGCCTGCGTCGATCGATGCATTCAAGGATTTCAGTGCCCGGTTTAGGGCTGACCTCGACCCGAAATAACCTAGCTTTTTTTGGACTTGTATAGGGAAAACATGCCAAGGAACCTCAAACAGGCAGGGTTTGCAGGCACAGCAGCATCCGCGACCGAATCATAAAAAAGCTTCGGTGGTCCCTAATAATGCCAAGCTTTCACATTTCGGCCCAGAATCCGGGAACCCAGTCGTAAAAACCGAGGGGTCGAAAGCATCAGGTGGCGGCCGCTGCTGCGCGAACCGGTGCAGATGCCTGATAACGAACAGAGCATCGGGTTCGGCCCCCATACAGTAACAGTCTATAATAGGGCTACTATTAAGGGCCTACTATATCTATATTATGAATATTATCCAACTGTTACTGAGTGGGGGCCGTACCCAACACCTTGCCCCACCAAACTGGACAACGATGCAGTCCTGTGGCCTGGGTAATGGTCCAAGTTGGGGGCTTAGGGCTTTGATTTCATGCTTCCTGGGTTTAGGGTTAAGGGTTTAGGGGTTTAGCGTGTAGGGTTTAGAGGTATTTGGAGGTTTAGTGCCTAGGGTTTAGGGCTGGGTGTCAGGGTTAAGGGCCCAGCGCTGCTTAAGAGATTTCGGCTTAGGGTTCCCTCCGCGCGCTGAGGCCTTTGCCCGAAACGAATCCCTCAGAGGTTCTGCCGGCTTCGGATTCTATCTGTTGTAGGCCTGAATAATGGGAACGGGGTTTTGGGATCTTTAAGACATACACACACAGGTATACAGTAAACCCCATAAACTTGGAAACTGGATTATGGCCAAATAGTGCTGGGATTCCCTATACAGTACTCTTAAGGATTGAGGCTCTGGGGTTTCCAACTTTTGGGCTTCTACTGTATATATATATATATATATATATATATATATATATATATATATATATCAGAAGCATCTCGAGCATGCATCCCTGAACCCGTAACCCTGAACCCGTAAATGCCTGAACCACAGGCCCTAAATCTCTCAACCCCCCATATATATATATATATATATATATGTATATATTGAAACCCACAGGCTACAGCCCAAGCCCTGAACCCTTATCAACTCCTTCTTGTAAACACTTCTAGAAGCTGTTGAAACACACCCTGCACACAGACAAACAAACAAATAATTCCCCTTCTAGGGAACACGTATAGCAGAAGCCATAAGGTTGGAACACTATACTCCTCATGACTCTACGGTAAAGCATAAGGGATCCTAGCAACAATCATCCTAATAACATGTTCCAACTTTCCGGGGTTCGCTGTAGAGTACCAAACCCTTGAACAAAGCATATAAACCTCTTATAGAAACCCTTAAAACCTAAACCTCATATAATAACCCTTAAACAAAAACCTAAACCTCATATAATCACCCTGAAACAAAGACCTAAACCTCTTATAGACACCCCTCAGAGTTACCCTTGTGGTCCGGCCTCTTACAGGAATCCCTGAAGTCAAACCCTCAAAACACGGTTTAGAGTTTACCCGTAGCCGAAAAGATATGTAGTTCCTTGCAAGAAAGGTAAGTCTTTAGGTAGGGACTATAAACCCTAAACCCCCTAAACCCCTAAACCCCTGAAGCGCTCAACCCCAAACCCTAAACCCCTAAACCCCCAAACCCTAAACCCCTAAACCCCCTAAAACCCTAATCCCGTAAACCCCTAAAACACCAAACCCCAAACCCCCAAACCCTAAAACCCTAAAACCGCCTGGAGGGCCTGGAGGCATTCCCGGGCTGAAGGGAGGTCCTCCTTCGGTCCTGCTTCTTACTGTTGGTTAGTAATTCCCTTGTAGAACCCTTATATGCGCCCGCGCTCCGCGTTCTTCTCGACCCCCCCCCCCCCCCCCCCAATGGTATCCCCCCCCCCCCGACCCGGGCGACCACACAACAAGAACAAGAACAAGAACAAGAAGAAGAACAGCAGCAACAACAAAGCAGCAGCAACCACGCGGAGGAACCACAGGAACCACAGGGGGGGAGGGGGGAGACAGGAACCAGAAGAACCACAAAAGGGAGGGGGAAAACCAAGAGGAACCACAGGGGGGGGGGGGAACCACAGGAACCACAGGGGGGGGAGGGGGATTACCATGGGGGGGGGGGGGGGGGGGGGGGGGGGGTGCGCGGATGCTGGCGCATATAGACCCCTTTAAGGAACCCTTTGTAAGGAACCTGAGGGATAATTATTCCCTTAACTAAGGGATATTGGAGCCTTTGGGCTTAAGGCGATTTTCCTACCTTCTGGGAGGATGTAGGGTTCAGAGTTAGGATTTTTTGCCTCCCGCCGGGCTAGGACGCAGGGTGCGATTTTTAGGGGTTTAGGATTTGTCCCTCGTACCTAGCAAGGACGAAGCCCGCATTGCAGGGAGTCCGGATTTGGGTTTAGGGGTTTGGGGGGATGTAGGGTTTAGGGCCTTTAGGAGTTAGGATGTGGGTTTAGGCTTCTTGTAGGATGTAGGGTTCAAGGCTTTAGGAGTTAGGATTAGGGTTTAGGGTTTGGGGGGATGTAGGGTTTAGGATTTGGGTTTAGAGTTCTGGGGGGGTGTAGGGTTTAGGGCTTTACGCTCTCGCAACTCGGACATGCCTGACGAGGTCTCTGGTGCTGTGTGCTTTGACGGTCGGTACTACAAGCTGACTTCCAGTTCTACACCACAAGGAGCACTAAACACTCAAAATCTATCATAGTTAAGTAACGCAGTACGGAAAGTCAGCACTGCAAGGTGAGAGCGTGCCGAGCAAACTCAGAAGACTCCCGCAACTAGGTCGCATCCGCGACCCCGATCTGCTTCGCGCGGTTGCGAGCCCTCAGCTCCTGCTTCTTGAGTGCCCCTCGCTCGCGGATAAATGTCGCCTCGCGCTTGCCGACAGGCTGAACCGCAACGTTTAGCCCCAGTGCCGAAACGATGTCCCTGAAGTCCCCGAGGAATGACTCCACTCCGCCGCCAGCATTCCAAGCGTCTGAGTCGAATGGGTCGGTGTGGTGCTGGCTGACCACCACGTCCGGTCCGAGAGAGTCAAGGACTCTCGGAATGGCTGCCTTGGACTTCTTAAAGTTGACGACATAGCCTGCGAGGCCTGACGAATCACCCTTCGTCAAGCGCTTGGCATCTCCTTTCACCTTGATCACTCCGTTGATGAACTTCAAGTTTGGAGCGGGAATGGAAGAATGGTAGTAATAGTGGTTATAATTGTACCCCATTCCTCCATTCCCTACTAACCAAAGGTAAGGCTTGGAGAATCTCTCGACTTCGCAAGTACAGTTAGTTATAGAGTACATTAATTAGGGTTTAGGGTTTGGGGTTTAGGGTTTAAGTACAATCATAAGTACAGTTCGTTATCGAGTACATCAATTAAGGCTTATAGGGTTTAGGGTTTGGGGGGGTAGAAGTTATAGAGTACATTAATTAGGGTTTAGGGTTTAAGTACAGTCATAAAGTAGCTTAGTTAGGGTTACGATTCCCTATAAGTATAGTTAACTGAACACTAACTCTAGTTGCTAAGTCCCATGGAACCTGAAGTAGACCCTAAACCCGAAACCTTTAAACGCAACATTGTCATAGAACTCTACAGTACCCTTTAAAGGAGCCCTCCGGCCTAGTTACTACCCAGAGGCCCCAAATTAGTTCCTTTTTGGGGATCCATATATATATATATATATATATATATATACAGAATCCTATAAGGTAATCCCAAAAAGGAACGACTATGGGGCCTTAGTGTAATTATGTCCCATGATACGTGAAAAGCACAGCGGAGGTCTGGGAGACTATTGCTGCAAGCAGGGTTGTGCATGTTGAGAACTTAGGGTTTGGGGGTTTAGGGCTTCAGGATTCAAGGGTTATGCGTTTCGGGGTTTTGAGGTTTTGGTTCAAGGGTTAGTTCTCTCTTGCTAGGTCATGTTGTGATGATGTTGTGATAGGATTTTTTACGGAAACACTGGTGCTGAGGATGACGAGAGTGACACAGTGGCTATGATGCAGATTGCTTCGGTCAGGGTGCTGCTACCGATGGTGATGATGACGATGTTGATGATGATGATGATGATGATTTTGAAGGCGATGATCATGATGGTAGTGTTGGCCATAAGTGTGAAGGTGATGTCCTAATTAATGCTAGTTACTATGCTGATGGCGATCACAGAACGTGGTGGTCAAACGGATGAAATCAGATATTGAGCTACATGGTGCTGCATATGAGGCTGAAAAAGGCATGATCACAACCTCACAATAGCGAAGCTGACGGTGACAAACACAAAGACGTTGTTGCTGTTGATGCTGAGTCAGAAAGAGGTCTGACGACGCGCAGACTAGTCGAAGATTTGGGCTTGGAGGGTTGTGGGCCTTACACTTGGGTTGGTGAGGATGATGTTGCTCATGATGCGGATGGTGATGCTGTGGGCGAACGATGCTTGACAGTCTTTCCTGGCCTAAACCTCCCTCAGCTGCCAACCCCTAAACCCCCAAGTCCCTAAACTCTCCACCCGCAAACCCTAAACCCTGGCCCCAAACCCCCGAAATCCTAAACCCTGAACCCCATACCCTATACCCTAAGCCGTCTGAACTCAAAGCGCCAAGCCCTAAACCAGGATCCGACGTCCTCAGCCCGGGCCCAAAGGGCATCATCCTTGAGAAAGCGATGGATAAGGATTTAGGGCTTAGGGTGGGTAAGAGAGCGATAACAGTAAAAGCTACCCTAAGAGGTACCATGAAGGATTCCGCGAAGAACCTTTTGGTTGTCAGGGAAGCTTCCGGGAAGCTTAGGCGTGTAATGGGGAAACCCTGTCATTCTTCAGGCTGCTTAGTGCGGGTCCTTATGCAGGAAAACTGATATGGCCTGCAAGCTTCATTGCCGACGCGGCAGGCAGGGGCTGGGGGGGGCCTCTGGAGACTCAGGGTCAGCGCTTTGCAATTTTTTGTGCAGTCTTTTAGCAACTACAACTCCTGACAATGAAACAAACGCACACAAACCACAATAACAGCTCTGGAAACCTATGATCATCAATGCTCTGCCCTAACTGAACCCCTGTAGCTCTGTAGCCCTGAATCGCGTGGTCAGCTATCTTAACCCATAAGGGCCCGACATTGGACCGATCATCCCACCCGGGAAAGGTCCCGGATGAGCCATGCCATAGGGCTGTCTGCCTCGCCGGGGATCAGGATGTAGGGCTGAGGGGTTCGTTTAGGGCTTAGAGAGTTTAGGGCTTAGGGAGTTCAGGGTTTAGGGTTTAGGGCTGGGGGGTTGCAAGGTTCAGATGTTGGACTTTCTAAGATTTAGGGTGCAAAGCGGCTGGGGTTCATCGTTTGTGGGGGCGGGGGGGTACTACACTTTGTGTCTACGGGTTTAACTGACTTGTGTGGGGTTCAACACTAGCAATAGTAGTAGTAGCAGCAGCAGCAGGAGGAGTGGTAGAAGTAGTGCTAGGGGTAGGAGTATAGGAGCAGGAGTGGCAGGAGTAGTGGGAGTAGTAAGAGCAGTAGAAGTAGTAGAAGAAGCAATCGTAGCAGTAGAGGTAGCAGCAGCAATTGTGGTAGCAGCAGCAGTCGGACTCGGGGTCGGAGTAGGAGTGGAAGCAGTAGTTGTGGTCCGGGTCGTTGTCGTCGTCGCCACAACAGTTGGGAGCTTTTAGTTTGAAGGGTGTTCGTTACGTGAAGCCTCTCGCGCCTAAGTCAAGGGGGTTAAGGTTTCCAGGCAGGGAGTCTTTGACCTTCACCCTATACACCCAGAAGGCGTACGCACTATCGGGCTCTGTAATTATTAGGCCACACATTGGCCAAAGGGATCTTAACTCCAAGCTCCAAGCCCTACAACTACGAAGCGGAGAGACTGAACGTGTAGCATGTCGACTGCTGTTGCCGCAGGCTTGGGCGATGACGTTTCTTGGCACTGCTGCTTGTTTTTGGGCTCGGGCGGTATTTATGGGTTTAGGGTTGCAGGCGTTGTTGTTGTTGTTGTTCTGCGTCGTTAGTCCTTTCCGGGTTTGGGGTTGAGGCTTCGGGTTCCTTTGGGCGAGTGGTTATTATATGAAGCATTTTGAAGTTGTTTCTAACTAGTGCACTTTAGGTGTTTTGGGTTAGGTTTAGCAGGGCCTGGAAAGGTACAGTACATGCAAAGTCCCAGCAGCCTTCTACAATGCAACCCAAACCCGACAAACCGTTACCCTAAACACTTAACCGTTGTTTTCTTTCTCGGCTTTGGTGAGGCTGTAGACTCATCCTTGACAGCTCCAAATAACAAACCTACACCCTAAATCCAGGAAGCCCTCAACCCCCAAACCCTAAACAACTAGAATCCAACAACCCCGAACCCTCAAGCCCCAAAAACCCTAAACCGTCAGCACAAACCCTACCACCCGCGGCTCATCCTACAACCCTGAACTGCAAATCATGAAGCCGAGAGCCTGAAAATCCTACAGCCCAAATCCAAAAACCTGAACCTCGAACCCTAAAACGCTAAGCCATAAAGCCCAAATGTGGCTGAGAGAAGCCGGGCCTTCATCCGCAAAAGGATGCCCAAGCACCCCGAAGGGGCTGTCGTGCGTCGCCGTCGGCGGCAGCTGCTGAACCTCCGGCTCTGATCCTATGGGCTTGTGGTTTCTTTTTTAATGTGCATTTTAGGTACTGCCCTCGTACAGTAATAGTCCATAATAGGGCTACTATTAAGGTCCTAATATATCAATATTACAAATAATAATCAACTATTATACTGAGTGGGGGCCGTACCCAATGTGTGCTGGCCATGTCTCCCTAGTCAGGTCTGTCTCTTACAGACATACACTGGTGAGACGTTCCGTGACGATCACGATCTCATCCACGGTGCCATAGTTGGCTTGTGGGGTTTAGGGTTTGAGGGTTAGCACAGGATGTGCGGCCCAGGCAGCCTAAAATTCTACGCCAAGCACACCTTTATAAAACAGCTCAGACTTCTGCTTCCAAAACAACGCTGAACCGAAAAAACAAACTCTCCCGAACTTCAGGAATCGGGAGTTTGGATGTTCGGGGTCAGTTGGGTCCAGTGAGCTTTCATTTCGGGTTTGCGAGTTTGTAGAGATAACGGTTGTTGAAACAAATCCTGCACTACCCATAATAAGGACTGCACCATAATTCCCATGGCTTGGTGTCTTTAATTAAGGTAATGCAGGATTTATATCATCAACCGTAAGCACACCGTTTTCAGGGACACAGCAGCAAGGCCTGCAATACGCAGACCTCCTCGTTGTTGGCCATCCAATGCTTGTCGCTTTTCTTCGCTGGCGCCTCAAGTCTAGGCTCTACCCAGAGGCCCCAAAGTAGTTCCTTTTTGGGTTCCCTTATAGAATCCTATAAGGCAATCCCCAAAAAACTACTTTGGGGCCTATGGGTACGGAATTGGCATTAGGAAATTGCGGATCTTCACGGATATCGCATGTAGGGTTAGTGCCGCTTCCTCCAGATGAGGGTCTCAGCTTCATTGAGGTACCTACTCGTCGGGTATCAGGCGGAACTAAAGGTTAACCTTTTTGGTTATATAGGGATTAGATGAGGACTCCATTGCCCAAAAAAGGTTAAAGGTTACTTGCTCCACTACTAGGGGTAGCCTATCGTTAATGAGGGTTTAGCGGGTCCAAACTAGGCAAAGCCACCAAACGAGTTTCCCAAAGAGTGTGGTAAGATATGGGCCTGAATAATTGCCATGCTCCCTAGCGTTGTTCCCCACCATACTCATAATCTACTACTACATAAAAGGCCGCGCAAAAAACAAGTTAATTAATAGCTTCTACTAAAAAAGATCTGGTTGCTGTGCACACTTGGCACGCTTGGCGGGGTTCTACCCTCAGCGTGAAAAATGCATAGAACACACACACACACACAAAGTGTGAATATACACATACATAGTTGGAGCAACACTGCTAAGAAAAACAAAACGAGTACACATAGACAAACCGATACATTTGTAAATACAACATGTAGAAAGACTATATCTATATATATATATATATATACCTACATACATAGACACGCACACACAGATACTTTATGTAGTTATTCAATGTCCAAACTGCATGTGTGTCTTTTCGGCTGTACTTTCATGTCACAGGCCCGGGGAAAAAGAACAAAAAGAAAAACGATTCCCGATGTTGTAATGTAGGATCCTGATTAAGAAACCCTAGGCCTAGAACCCCAAAACAGTAGGATTCAATATAAGGAACCCTAATAAAGGCCCAAGGTTTCTTAATCAGGATCCTACATTACCCTGGCCTGGGCTGTCGAAGTTCGACCCTCAGCCGCCTCTTTAGACCGTTTACAGCCTTTCATGCGTGGAGGTCCATGCGACTTAGAAAGTATCGTTATAAGTACCTTAACTCGGGTTATAGTTAGTTAGTTATAAGTATAGCTACCTTACTTATAAGCGTAGATACTGAGTCCCATGAACCTTTAAGTAGTGATGGTCCCACCGTTTGTCGCTGTCATAGTGATGGCCGCACAAGACTCAGGTCTGCGTGGATTGTCAGCATTGTTGAACCTTGAACTCGAAGCCCTGATCCCTGGATCGAGGGCCAAAACCTTGCACTCCACAAGTTCAAAGCCAGATCTTCCAAAACCCCGAAGTGAGGAATATACCTTGAATCGTATTTTAGATACCACTAAAAATCCTTAGGTTATAGTAGGCTCCCTAGCAATTATGATCTAACTGAAGTGATGCTGGATCGAAGTTTCTGAGAAGCCGGCCTCTTGAAGGAGGTGGTCCATCTCGATATTCAAGCGATAGAGCTGTCCTTAGCGCACTGCAAACGCTCACCTCCCCCAAAAACTCTGAGCTCTAGACCGAAAACCCCAGCACTCTGAACCGTAACCAGTAACCTGAATTCAGAAGCTCCAAAGACTCAGAGACCCTACGACCCCCAAACCCTAAATCCCTAAAGGTCATAAACACCCTGAAGCCCGAACGCTCCCCTGCCCCGCCACAAGCAGAAAACTACAAGCAAGCACGGGAAAACAGGAGCAATGAATGGAAACCACAAAAGCAACAAAAAGGTGATCTACATACTGAACAAACAGCTTGAGCGCTCCGCACCTGAACCATACCGAAAGAAAACCCGGCAGCACAAGTACCTGGACTTACGGGACCTACCTTTCAAGGGCGCAGCCTCTACATATGTATATATATATATATATATATGTATATGTATATATATATATACAAACATATATATATATATAGATACATACAAATATTTGTACTCCTAAATCATCACACACACACACCTCCCGGGGTTGTAAATACTGAGACTGTCGGGGCTAGAGTGGACACTATAAAACACCCTCCGTTTCCACTTGAAGCCCTAAGCCCCAACCCTGAACCCCTCAAACCGAACTAAACTCCAATCTTTTGTGAATACTGTTCCTTCGGGTTCTCGTAAAGGCTCCCTGTCACAATTCATCATTATCTTATAGTCTTCTACAGCCCCCAACCGCACTCGAATTATGAAGCCCTGGAGGTTCCTCCGCTGTTTAGGTGGCCACAATCGATATACCATACGGTACAAGTAGCCAGAGTTCCCAATATCCTTTGATCAGGGTATATACCTTAAACCATAACAGGGATTCTACTATAGTTTAGGGTATACTCCCTAATTCCTTTAAAGAGCCCTTATAGATCCCCTTAAGGAACCCTTTAAGGAACGCTTAGGTACACACCTTAATTAAGGGATATTGGAGTCTCTGGGTGTCTCATCCTGCAAGCCTTGAGCCAACCACCTATCTCCAAAACCCGAAACCCTATAATGCAAGAGCTGTGCTATCTTTGTACAGGGTTTTAGGTTTAGGGTTTAGGGTAATAGGGTTAGGGTTTAAGGTTTAGGGTTTATCATGCAGGGGCCATGCTATCTGTGTAGGAACTATACGGGGATAGTAGTACACACAAAGTATTCCGACGCCTATATTCAGCCCTAGGCTGAACCTGATACTCCACAGGAGACCTAAACTCCTTCTCCTCCATTCCTGAGAAAGAGGCCGTCGTCCCCATGGATCTTCAGTGTCACCTTCGGAAGGAGGCTAAAGCAGTTCTGGTCAAAGGGTTTAAATAACGCTATACACCCCTTCAGGGTGTTCCAGATGGTTTTAAGCTTCGCCAACGTGTGGAGGATGGTTGGGGTCCTCACAACATAGGGCGAAAGGCCGTGGTTTAGGGTTTAGGGTTTAAGTTTAAGGGTTTAGGGTTTAGGGTTTAAGTTTAAGGGTTTAGGGTTTAAGTTTAAGAGTTCAGGGTTTAGGGTTTAAGTTTAAGGGTTTAGGGTTTAGGGTTTAAGTTTAAGGGTTTAGGGTTTAAGCTTAAGGGTTTAGGGCTTCATGTCTAGATTCCTCATCCTGAGCCTTCAGCCCGTGACCTCCTAAGTCCCAAAACTCCCGCAGAGAGCCCCTCAGCCCGAAACACCGAGCCCAAGCTCTAAAGCCAACACCCTGGGTCTCCCTAGCTAGGATGCCCAGTAGTACCCTTATTAGGGGTACCTTTAAAGGGTTCTATAACGGCTACTATAAGGGCTATTATAAGGGTTTAATACAGGGGCCTTAATTAGAATGGGGTTTTGGGGCCCATTATACTATAGTTGCAATGGGGAACCCCCCAAAATAGTATAGGTCGTTATTAAGGCCCCTATATTCACCTAAGTTCACTTGTGAAAGGCCACTGGTGCCGGCCTGGCCGGTGAGATCTTTCTTCACTTCGCAGTCGCAGACGACGGTGTTTCCCGCCTCACGGTCCTGGTTTTCAAAGGGGAAAAGGAGGGACCCTTAATGGGGACCTCTACCCTATAATGGGCTATATAATGGGTATATAATGGCTATATTAAGGGTATATACCTAGGGGTCCTTACTAGGGGTCCCTCCTTTTACCCTTGGAGGTTTAGGGCTTATAGGGCTTACGATTTAGCGATGGCTTGTGGGGGCTCTGGTCTCGCGGTGGTTGAGGATTTGATAAAGCTGTTCGTATATCGCGGTTGCAAGCTGATTTCTTCGTGAGAGGTTTCGGGTTCAATAGTTCGAGGTTTGGGGCGGGGGCTTAGGCTTTGGAGTTCAGAGTTTGGGTTCAAGGGGTTTCGGTTTCGAGGCCTTACGGTGGGGTCAATAGGCGCATGCAACAACTGAAACCGGAATCCGAAACGAAAGCCCAACACTAAACCCTAAACCCTGGGTGGTCTTGGGCTTCAGGGTTCATGGAATCGGAGTCTCGGATAGGACCCTAAGGGTCCGACTACCTAATAATCATATACTCTTCCAAATCGTAACTTACATAATTACTATCCGAAACCTAAGTACCTAATTGTTGGGTCCTTTGGACCCTTAGGGTGAGACTAAGAGTCAGATTTATGTCGTGTTTCTGGGCAAGGCACTGGCAACAAAAGTTGCGCTGTACGTGGCAGGTTAGATAGAGTGTTCTTTAACGGGAGTTTTATTCCATTGCGAGCATTGGACAATAAGATACTGAGAGAATCCTCTTCGCGCTCGAGTCCTTTCGTAGTTCGGGTGTACACAGCTTAGGGCACCAGGGGCCTCTTCAAAATCCTGTAGGGCTTTGGGCGGACCTGGCTTCAGGGTTTAGTGGGCACGCAAAGACTGAAACCGTAAACCCCGATAAAGACTCTTAAACCTAGGGTTTAGGGTTTAGGGTCTTGGGTTTTGGGTCTAGGGTCTGGACAGCCTGGATGCATCAACAAGTCCTGCACGAAGGCGAAGAAAGGCGCATTTCAGACCCCTCAACCCTCTACCCCAAAGCCCTCAACCCAAAAGCCGAAACCCATTATCCCTACTGTTGATGATATAAACCCTGTAACAATAAGGAATATACCATAAAATCCCATAGTTTAAGGTCCTTAAGGTAATGCAGGATTTATGTCCATTCTCCCTAGGAAACCAGCGCTGGGCACCCCGGCGACTCCACAAAAGTCATCGAACTTGGGCACCAAGGTGCGTGCTATGGTCAGGTATCTGGCCGGAAGAAGGGTCTGACGCTGTAGAGCTTAGGTTTTTTTAGGAGTTAAGGGCCTGATATTGTCGAGTTTTGGGTTATATTGTAGTTTAGTTGTACCAGCACCCCCCAGCTACATTCTACCCTACATATACCCACTGTTAAGGACCATGAGGGCTCTATTACAGGGTACTTGGGCGGTGCCGCTAGAGCTCCGGGGTTTAGGTTTAGGGTTTTCGGTGGATTGATTTGCTGGAGTTTAGGGCCAGTCTCTGGTTGAGGGGATCGCAACTGGTTAGACTTGTTATGTGGGTGGTTGTCAAAATTATGGTCCCTTTTTGGGTATGCTGAACCTGACGTTGAAACAATCCCTGCAACATCGATGTTAACATAAAGGCACCGCCCTGAGCACAGTCCTCTACCCTAAACAATAATGACATATGTCCATGGACGCTCGGGGAATCTGAGAAATACATAGAGCACGGGTCGAGATGCATATTGTAGTTCATGCTATCTATAATAAACCCTAAACCCTAAACCCTAAACCCCCCACAAGCCCTCTCACAATTATTCAGGCCCTCCCTGAAGCCAACGGCTTAAAACTCAAAGAGAGAAGACCCCAAACGCCCACCCTCCTAAACCCCAAACACTGAGCCCTCAACCCTTACAGGACCCCGACCACTAAACCGTAAACCCCAGACACTCGCCCCTAAATGGAGGTACGATTTAATACTGATGAATCCTATTTTGTGGGGTAGCTCTACTCTTCATATGCTGTAAATATACCCGTATTCTATTCGTTAGGGCCCGCAAACCCTAAACCCTAGACCCCAAAACCCTTATCCTATAAACCCTATAATGCTGAGACCGCTCCCTCTGAGATTCCCTGCTCCGCAGGCGGAACCAGCATGAAGGAGGTACCGGTCCTCAGCGAGGCATGGTTTAGGGGGCTGAGGGTTTAGGGTTTAGGGGTCTGGGGCTAGGGTTCAGGGGTTCAGGGGTTCAGGGGTTTAGGGGTTTAGGGGTTTAGAGCTTAGGGCTAGGGCTTGGGGATCCCCAGGTCATGTTTAGGGCTCCGCTCCGGTACGTTAGGGTTCCTTTAGGTTCCGTAAAGGCTTACAGTCCCTAAGGCTCCATGCAACCATATAGTATACACCTAGGCCTTAAAGTACCTATATAGGACCCCTTTAAGGCTTAAGTATCTACTATAAAGGTACATGGAGCCTTTGGGAGTACGGGGTGCTTGGGCTTCTGGCGGATTCAAGATCTTAGGGCTTCTAGGGTTTACAGATGTTTAGGCTACACGGTTTAGGGTTTAGGGTTTCGGGTTTGGGGGTTTAGGGTTTCGGGTTTTGGGGTGTAGGGTATTAGGGTAAGTAACAGGGTTTCGAGGGCTTGAAGGCTTGGGAGCGTATGGCTTAAGCATTACAATAATACGGTCCTGGGGTACTTTAGAGTATGCCTTACATGGGCTACCAGAGGATGCCACTTCAAATCGTGCACACCCCGCGATATACTACACATTGCAACCCAGAGTGTGAACAGAAGCAGCTGTAGATGGGTAGTTCTCTAAAGGGACCCTAATGTAGATAACTACCCAAATGGTGAAGCCCTAGGGCTAGGCATGAAAGGCATAATGCACGCATGTGGGACGTAGACTCTCAATGACGGGAAAGGTTGGTAAAGCCATGATTCAAGCCGGACTCACTACTTCCTTGCTGTCCTGGGGTATTGCTGCAATGTTGCTGATGCTTTGCTGCTTCAAAGGATGCTGTTCTGCCCTAGGCCTCCAGCTACATCAACCTCTTTATACAGTAACCTGACACCATCAAACCCTTGTCAACCACCATAACGCATTAAAGAATCCTCATAGAACACTATAGGAACTAATCAGAAACTCCTAGACATCCTCCAGAAGCCTTTCAATTCCTAAGCCCTGAACCCCCAAAACCTTGACGACCCGACACACTCTAAAACCGAAACCCTACCCACCAACCGCTAAGGGAACCCTACCCCGTAAACCCTACCCAAAACCTACTGAACCTTCGATTCGAAAAACCCTAAACACCAAACAGCTTAAGAGCCTGAAAGGGACCCTAAAGAAAACAAAATTACCCATATCCTACAGAACCCTTGAACCTTGGACCTCAACCCTGAACACTGAACCGTTAAGAACCCTCACAGGGACCCCAAAGAAGAGAACTACCCATGTCCTGCAGAGCCCGAAAAGGGACACTAAAGACAAGAAATATACATATCCTACGGAACCCTTGAAGCTTTGACCTAAACCCCTTAAAGAACCCTTGAATGGACCCTAAAGAAGAGAAGGATCCAGATCCTACAGAACCCCTAAGAACCCTAAAACGGGACTCTAAAGAAGAGAACTACCTATATCCTACAGAGCCCTTGGCACTTAGACCTCAACCCTGAACACCGAACCGTTAAGAACCCTCAAAGGGACCCTAAGAAGAGAACTGCCCATGTCCTAAAGAGTCCTTGGAACTAAGACCTAAACCCTAAGCACCGAAACCCTACCCTAAAGAAGAACTATCCATATCCTACGGACGTTCAAGCCATCCTATGCGCACTGCTGGAGCCCCCAGGCTCGATAATCGCTGTGATCAACTTTGGCGGAAGATCCTGCGGTTTTCAAAGCTGGGGTTTATGGCTCCGGGTTTCTGTTGTGGGTTTTGGTTTAGGGTGCCGAAATTATTTCAGTTTGAGGGTTCAGGAGTTTTACGTTGTGGGTTTGGTTAGGGTTGGGCTTTGCGGTCGAAGCGGCTTGGCGGCTGTATTCAGAGCATCTAAAGCCGGGCTCGAGCTTTGGTTGACATGGTTGTAGGGGTTCAGGGCTTGACAGCTGGTTGGGTTCAGGGGTCGTTTAGGGGTTTAGGGTTGGGATTTATGCTCGAGACCGCAAGCCTTAAACCTCATGAACGGCTGGAAACCAACCTTTCGACGATAGATCCTAATCAGCTTTATGTTTGCTGTAGGGTTCAGGTAAGGGTTCGGGGATGTTCAGGGTATTCGAGGGAACGATTTCATGCTGTTGCTAAGCAGCAGTCGCAGTCGCAGTCCCCGTTGCAGTAGCAGCAGCAGTAGTCGTCGTCGTCGAGTCCTCGGTAGTTCAGCAGCAGCAGCAGCAGCAGCAGCAGCAGTAGTAGCTGTTTTGGTTGTTGTTGTGGTATTGGTAGTAGTAGTGGTAGTAGTAGTAGTAGTAGCAGCAGCAGCAGTAGCAGTGGTAGTAGCAGTAGCAGTAAAAGCAGCTGCCGCAGCAGCTCAGTAGCAGCGAAGCTGCATCTGGAGACGTCCTTCACCTCCGCTTCGGCCTGCGAAGCAAGCACTGTGGGAGTTTCCGAAACTAGGGGTACCTTAGGGTTCCTTTAAAGGGTTACTACCAGGGTACTATAAGGGTTGCTTAAAAGGGCTTTATAAGGGCTTAGAGTTTCCAAAATGGGGGTACCTTATTTTGGGGGCCCGTATAATAAGGATCCTACTATTTAGGGTACTACCAAGGGGCCCCAAAGTAGTTCCTTTTTGGGACTACCTCGTAAATTATAGGATTCGTTGTATGAACCCCAAAAAGGAATTACTTTGGGGCCTACCTTAGTCTCCGCTGTAGTTCCTTTATTGGGTTATCCAATTTTATGGTTAGGACCCTATAATAGAGATTTTGGTAAACCAAAAAAAGGAACTACAATGGAGACTATAGGTATGGGTATATTAGGGTCCCCTATTTCCGGAAAGTCCCTTGTGCTAAGAGCTTCATGTCAAGCCATGGCAGCGCTGGGGTCTCTGGCAGGGTTTTACAATTCTTTTATTTTAAGGGTTTTACAATTTGTTTCAGGGTTCTACAATTTTCTTTGGGGGTTTTACAATTTTTTGCAGGGGTTTTACAACTTTTTGTGAGGATTCTACAATTTCGGGTTCAGAGTTTAGAGTCGTTGTCTTTGCACTTTTGGGCTTCAGGACATCGACGTGCTGTGTTTGTAGTTTCGGCTTGGCGGCGCTTAATGGGTACTGGCTTGAAACGCAGCCTTCTCGCTGACGTGGGTGTGCATGGACTTACCTGTTTGAAAACGAAAGGAAATTCGGCTTCTGAGACGTGTTGCGAATTGTGACGGCATTCATGGTGGCTCGAAGTATCCAGCATGCACTACAATCTTTTGGCGGCCTCGAAGATCTTCAGAAAAGTCATGTGTGTCAATGTAATAACTCGCTGCAGACACTCTTCCTGCACAATCTGCACACTAAAACCATGTGTACTATGACGTTGCCAGGCGCTCAGACCCCTTTATTGTAGGTCAGCTCACAAACCCCACAAGTCAAAACACTCAACAACTAGAAACCTCGAACGGTCAAGATACCTCAGACGCGAGAGATGCAATTAAGGCTGATGACAACGGCAGGTACGCAGTTGCCCCTCGATACCAAGCCCCAAACCACAACTCCCCACATCCTGGACGTTGGGTCAAAACCCCGGTCCAGAGCCCAACTTCTTTCAAGATGCTGCGATAAAGCAGGCTAGAGAACTCGTGCAGAGCTCTTCTCGAGCCTCATGAAGCCCGAAAGCAAAAGATTTCAGACGAGCTTTGAAAAAACCATAAAAAAACGTCATTACAGAACCCCTAATCCCTAACTCCTAAACCACATGAATCATGCAGCCCGGCTTTTTTGCAACACACAGAACTCAGGTTAGCCCTAAGGGAGGCTGCTCACAAAAGCCGCCTCGAATGCCCAGGAGCCTTGTCCGCCTCCAAAACCTTGAGTTCAAGAGAGTTTCAAGGTTTCGGGCTGAGGAGGGTCTAGGAGCGTTTATATATGGGTGGTTTTAAGGGAGTTTAGGGGGTTTCGGGGGGTTTTGGGATTCAGCGTCCAGGGTTTAGGGTACCTCGAGCTTTTCTTGCTAGTGTTACGATAGGGCTTCAGGGACTCTTTGGGGGGGTGGGGGGGGGGGTTGTTTAGGCTTGGTATTGCCATGAAGCGAAGCGAATTCAATGGGGGATTTAAAACCTTCGATGTAACATACTTGGAGGATCCTGAGACTGAGTAATTGGGGTTATAATTCAGTTATACTTACTGTCAAAATTAGGGTCCCTTTTTTGGGTCCTTATTATATTACTGAACCTAATAGTTAGGGTACCCGAAAAAAGGGACCTTAATTTTGATAACTACCCATGTGTGATGAGCCCCAAACTTAAACCCTATAGATCTTTTACAGGAACTCTTAAAGGAACCCTCAAAGGATGCCTTTAAAGGAGCCCCTAATTTTGACAACCACCCAAGTAGTGGCCACAGCTCCGGGGTTCCGGGGTGGGCTGTCCCCAACTTCGTCGTCTCGGGGGTTTCGAGAGATTTAGTTTAAGTTACCATAACAGGGATCTAGAAGGGTTCCTTTAAGGGATCTATAAGGGCTCCTTTAAGGGATCTAGAAGGGTTCCTTGAAGTGATCTATAAGGGTTCCTGTAAGGGTTTCGGCGTCTTCAGGGGCTTACGGGCGTTGAGAGTTTTTTTGGGTGGTGTTTGAAGGTGTTTAGGGAGTATATGGGAGTTTCCGAACATAGTGGATCCTAATTAGCACTCTAAATAGTAGGATCCTTATTATAAGGCCCCCAAAAAAGGTACCCCTAATTTCAGAAACTCCCATATTGGTTTCAGAGTTTCCCAAAGGCTGCATGTACCTTTATAGTAGACACTTAAGCCTCAAAGAGGTCCCTATATAGGTACTTTGAGGCCTGAGTATATACTATATGGGTACATGGAGTGTTAGGGTTTTAGAGTGCTCAGAGCTTTCGGCATTCTCTTGGAGTTTGAGGGCTCTTAGGACCTTTCGCGCTCGGGGCCGCTTGGAATCTTCAGCTACTTTTTGGGGTTGAGGGGGTGTTGGGACTTTAAGGGTGGTTAGGTTTAGGGTTTAGGGTCTACTCCTTAGCTAGCACAATGCCACCGCAATCAACTGCATGATGCCTCTTCCGACACTGATCGTAGTAGAAGCAGTGTAGCAGTCGTCATCGTGATCGCTGTCGAGGGCATTGCCGTCCGTCGTCGGGTCATGTAGGCACACCGGAAACATGAAACAAACTGCGCATCACGAAGACATATCCAAACACATATGTTGCAAAACAGCTTTGCATGACAGAAACTCATGCAACACATGTCGTTGCACCTGAAACCATGTGAACCGCCGATTTAGCCGGGTCCAGCACGGACGCTGACTGCCTCCGTCCATGCGAATGGCCTCGGAGAACATGCTTGCTGCTGCAGAATAATTGCAGGGTCACTTCCGGCTTGATTTTTTTAGCATCTGCTTCGAAGACAAGACGGGATATGTGGTGTTACATGGGTTCTGCTTTCATGAAACTCTCATTTCGAGGGGCTTCAGAATGGCATGTGCTTCCTTGATAACTCCATAAGTCGTCTGGTAGACTGTCTTCTTCTGTTCGGACCGCTGCAAAATGCAATGAGCATGATTGCACGGGGGCTCGCACATGTTATGGAGGGTTTCGAATGATTTTTCGTCCGAAACTACGTTACGGTTACGCCGTTTGCCCCAAAGATCTCGTATCGCTGGTTCCAGAAGCTAGCTATGCGGCCATTGACAGCTGGCAGTTCCTCATTCAATCCCACAAGGTCTTTGGAATAGGATGGCTCAGACGAATCTGCTGGGGTAGTCGCAAACCCTGAGGAGACTGCGGATCTGTTGCGGAACATCCCAACGAGGCTACAGGTTAAGGAATCTGCAACCGACTTCACTCCCTCAAAAAGGCCCGCTCCACCGGAAGAGTTGTCCCTGAGTTCATGTTCATTTTTCAAGTCTGCCAAATCCCAGGCACCAATGGTGCATCCTGAGCCGATGGCCAAATTTCGCCCCAAGAACCGCTAAAGCCGCTAATACAATGGCTTCAAGTCAGAAGAGAAGGTGATTCATAGTCAGTACTACGCATGATCACATCATAGCCTTACTGCTGCCAGGGCCCTTACGCCGCAAACCCCCTAGTAAATACACCTGCCTTTATTTAAGGTGGGTTCCTTGATGAAGGCCCTAAACCCAAAACCCCTAAACCCTAGGACCTAGGAGTCTGCAATAAGTCCCACCCCTCTGCACTGAGGGTCCGTGCCCGACGTCCTGCAGTCGGGACTGCCGGACGCCAATGGCAAGGCGGGCTGCCTGAAAGATTTAGAAGGCTTCTGGCTTTTAGGACAAGTTGTGGGGTTTAGGGTTTAGGGCTGCCTGATTTTGGTTTCTCAGGAGCCACTTTTCTGTCAGGTTCTTTCATATGAAGGCGAAGGTAGATGTAGAGATCTTCAACACCTTCGGAGATGTAGTGGGACAACGGATAGGCATCCTCCATTCGCAAACCGTCTGAAAAGAGCTGGAATGCATCAGGTGGCAAAGATTTTTCTGCACTGCATTCTTTCCCGCAATTGCTGATGCTCTCCTTGAAGTCGCCGATGGTCTGCTCAGTGTCTTCAACAAAAACTCACAGAGCCTCTTACCCTTCGGCTCCAAGGCGTTGACACTGACACCAGTATACAAAAGCCCCATCTGGTCCAAGTAGTCAATGTAGTCTGCGATGCTCAGACAGATCATATTCCTGAAACGACATTCGGGCTTCGAGCGCAGCAGACTCTACTCATACTCATTCTTGCTGCTGATACGGTAACATAGTACAGACGCCAGCAACAGAAGCCACATTTTAGAACAGCCCCTGAACCCTATAAGCTCTAGCTTCTAGCGGCAGCTGGCCTGACCCCCCCTCGACTCCCTGTCTAGGGCTATGTGGGAGCGGAGTTCTGGCTGGTTTAGGGTTCAGGGTCCTGGCTTTGGGCTTAGGGTTTAGGGGTAATGACTTTTGGGTTTACGGTTTAGGATTTGAGGTTCCTCAAACCAGCTCAACCAAATACCCTAACCAAACGAATGTGACTTTAGCTCTTTTTTGGTCATCCCACCCACTCAAAAGCTTTTGAGGAGCGACTCTCCAGAACCCTCAGCCCTCAGCACTGTTCCCTAAACATGTACTGCAGACACGTCATTACTAAATCTCTGGACTTACTTTAAGGCCCGTAATATTTGCAACCCTTCTATCAGACAGTACTGCTTTGCAAGGGGGGGGTCTCAATCAGGGGTCTACATTATGTAAGTCCCCATTTCCCAGATAAACTTCAATGGCTTTTCGCTGCTTTGCCTCCAAACCCCGAGCCACCCAAAGCCTTCGTACGAACTCTGACTCTGAAGAGGAATATTATTCTTTAAAAGGGATTGCCAGGGCTCGTTTAAATCTATCTATAAGGCTACTATAAGGGTTTAGGGTTTGGGCTTGGGTTGCTACTATACTAGGCTTCTGAGCAGCCCCCGTGTGATGAGGGTACCCTTTTTCCTCCTATTTGGCTTCAATAAGGGGACCATAAACCAAAAGGGCAAGGAAAGCAACTCCAGCAAAAGGGAGGATGTGGCAATAAAGAGAGGTGTGAAGAACTCGTTGCACCCCACCTGAAGCCCTGTGTAATTTTACTGATTTACAAAGACCCTAAACCCCAAAGCCCAGTTCTGATCATGCAGGCCCTCATCTCGCGGAGATCAGCTTTCAAGGCCTTGTTCGAGAGGTAGCGAGCTGTCTCCGGACCCAAAATGTACCTGACGAACAGGAGAGGGAATTGGGATTGATTGGGGTTAAAGGGCTGAGGCTTCAAGGAAAGACGGGAAAGACGACTGAGCTTCTCAGGCATTCGGCTGAGCTCTTCGAAGTCGCGTTTAGGCGTGAAGCCTTTTGGGTGAATCGTGGCTGTGGGGCTTGGGGTTTTGGCTGAACGCTCTCGTTGCATTCATTGTTTGGGGCTTCAGTAGTGTATGAATAGAATCTTTCAGAGGACCGGGGAACTGCACAGATACACACCTAAACCGCGCACCTCCCTAAATAAAACCCCTTCGAAAAGAACTCATGCTACACCCAAATCCTGTCTTGAACCAACAGCCTCCTGGAACCCGCAATGCGGTGGAACCCTCAACCCCCTTTAAGTACAATATACCACCATAAAGCCCAAACTCTGCTGCACAATCTCCAAACCCGACAAGCTTATTGAACTGAACTTTCAGCTCGGAGGGGTTGTCTCGGCAGTGCTAGCGCACGTCGCCGGGTGTCCATAGGACTGCAGATTTGCGTGCAAACTAGGACCTGGAACAGGAGAGACATCTAATCTAGGGTAGAGGAGAGAGACATGCCATCTAGGCGTCTTGACACGTAATTAGCGTAGTGCTCCTGTTGAAGTTTCCTGTACCGGGCTCTATATGGTTTACTATCAGAGTCAGAATAGGGGCTTAGAATAGGTTGATAACTAGAATAGGGTTTGGGGATTTATTTTCGAGTAGGAATCCAAATAAGATACACCGTTGGCAAGTATTCAGGCATCTGCATCAGCTTTCGAAAAGGCTTTTTGGATGTTAGTGTATCTGTGTTAAAGGAAACAAATGTTCGACATGAAGCTTACATGTGACTCGGCATTGGGTGTTTGTGTGGGGGGTGAAGGGGGGGTGGGGCGGGGGTGGTCTTTCTTAGTCTACATCATTGGCTGTTGCAGGGTGTTGTGGTCTAGCAAGATTAGCAGCTTTTCGCCAGACTTTCGCCGGACTTTCGGCTCCTTTGAAACATATATTGACAAGTATGAATAAAAACGTGTGTGTGTGTGTGTGTGTGTGTATGTAGACTGTCATGTGGAGAGAGACAGGGAAGAAGCGTGCCCGGACTCGAACAAAAACCGGATAGCCGGAAACTTGTGGGTAGTTGTCAAAACTATGGTCCCTTTTTGGGTACCCTAAGTATTAGGTGCCGTATTATTATTGTTAATATTTTTTATTATTATATTAGGGACCCAAAGAGGAACCCCAATTTTGACAACTACCCTTGTGAAGCTCATGGTTTTAGGATGCCTAGGGCTAGGGTTCAGGAAGTGGAGACTCGGAGGGATCGAAGGCATACGGCTGATGATAAAAATCCGGCATTACCTTAAGGACCCTAAACTATGGGAATTATGGCATATTCCTTATTATGGGTAATGCAGGATTTCTATCATCAACCGTAGGGCTTCCTTCAATCGCGGCTCACAAGTAGGCGCTTTCGCTCCGGAAGGGTTGGGGTTGTTGGTGTGAGCCTTTTGGGGGGTTTAGCGTCGCACTGAGGACTGAACCAGTAGTAAGAGCATTACAGTATCTACTACTTCCTATGGATATACCTCCGAATATGTACTTAAACATTACTGTAACTGGGCTCCTAAGCCTACTATAGAACCCAAGCAAACCTGACAGAAGTGCAGAAAGATGTTGAAACGCGCCACAGAAAGCGTGCTAGAGCTCCAACCCTGATAGTCTCTCTACCACCTTACCAATACAGTAGATACCACACAACCCTGATGCTGCTCCGCCAGGCTCCTCATAAGGGGCCTTAAGAACTTAATCGGTCCAATAGGGTTTGGGGGTATCCGATACAAAATTATCATATATACCATTATAGTAAGGAACCCCAAAATAGTATAGGAATTATGTAGGCCCCTATAGTATATACCCTCATCGGAACTCGTAGCTTGGGCGAGGAGGTGTTGCATCAGGTCGGGATTCGGCCTCGAGTTTGGGGTTCTAGGGTCAGGAATTTCATAGGGTTTCGGGTAGTTAGCGTTTAGGAGTTTGGGGTTTAGGGCTTCAGGTGGAGGGCGGTTTAGGGTTTAGGATCTGAGGGCGGGGGGCGGTGCCTTCATGGGGCCCTTTCTCTGTTACCGCAAATCTTCACCCAGAGACTCTGACACCGGATTTAACCTGTAAGAACAACTGTTGAACTTGAACAGCATTCCGAAAAGACAGTGCAAACAAAACACGAGAGTGCTCTCAACAAACCCGAAACGGGAACCTGTTTTAAAACCTAGAACCCCGAACCCTTGAATGCGGAGCCTCCTGTCAGTGGTGGCTTTCTCCCAAAGCCGAAAACACCGTCCTGCCCACAGGGTTCAGTTTTGGGTTGAGGGCTTCTAAATTAAATAAGGCAGCAGCTGCAGGAGTACTGGTAGTCGTCGTCGTCGTAGTAGTAGTGGTAGTGGTAGTGGTAGTGGGAGTAGTAGTGGTAGTAGTCGTAGTAGTAGTAGTAGTAGTAGTAGTAGTAGTAGTAGTAGTAGGTGGTAGTCGTAGTCGTAGTCGTAGTCGTAGGCGTAGCCGTAGTCGTAGTCGTAGCCGTAGCCGTAGCCGTAGCAGCAGTAGTAGTCGTCGTAGTAGTAGTAGTAGTTGTTGTTGTTATTGTTGCAGAGTCGTCGTTGTAGCAGTAGCAGAGGCAGTAGCAGCAGCATTAGTAGAGCGTCGTCGTCTTCGCTTCTTACGGCTGCAGTGCCGGCAGCTGTCAGTAGTCGTGGTCGTCGAAAACAGTGAGGTATTGCCTGATATAATTCTCTAACTTAACTGGTCTCTATATAGGTAAAGTACAGTGTACCCCAAACCCCGTCCGAACCCCCCCCCCCCCCAAATCCCTTCCCCCCTCCCTCCCCACCCGAAAACCTAAACCCAAACCCTAAAACCCCTACGTAAACCCCCCCCAAACCCCCCGCCCCGCCCGACATGAAGAATCGCCCTAAGCCCTATAGATCCCTCATGGATCCCTTAAAGGAACCCTTTAAGGATCCCTTTAAAGGTTAAAGGCCCCCCCCCCCCACCCCACGAATCGCAAGGACCATCCTAGGGCCCCGAAAAAGCACATAAGAAAAAATTAGGATAGGGATATCCCATATAAACCCCCTTATAATGAAGCCCAATAAGGTGAGATATCCCCATATATTGCTTATGCTTATGTGCCCTAAACCCTAAACCCTAAACCTTAAACCCTAAAGTGCCCTTTAAAGGACCCTAAACGCAAGGACCATCCCTCCGGTCAACGGTCCCACGCTCGCTCGCGGCGTGCGACGAGGTCGCCCTCCTCTGCGAGGATGAAGGGCTGCTTCGGGACCTGACGTTCTTCATAGGGTTTAGGGGTTGGGGGTTTAGGGTTTAGGGGTAAGGGTTTATGGGTTTAGGGGTTGGGGGTTTAGGATTTAGTAAAGGGGTTAGGGTTTATATGGGTTTAGGGGTTGGGGGTTTAGGGTTTAGGGTTCATGGGTTTAGAGTTTATGGGTTTAGGGGTTTATGGGTTTATGGGCTTAGGGGGCTTAGGGTTTAGAGGTTTCGGGCTTAGGTGTGTAGGGTTTGGGGCGTCGGGTTGGGGAGTCTGGGATTAGTTTAGAGGTGATAGGGCTTTTAATACGAGTTTGGGGCGTGAGTGCTTCGCGTGCATATAATGTGGCACCTTCCGATGTTCTTACTTAAACTTAGGGGCGGCTTTGACAGTCGAGTAGTAAGACAACCGACTACTGTTCTACTCTGAAACGCAGGAAGCCTGATCGTGAACAACACCGGCTTTGCAACTATCACCAGGGAACGATAACTGCAGCAGCAACAGCACCGGAAGAAGTAGCAGCATGGTAGCGCTTCTCTTCTGCCCCTGCTGACGATACGGAAAACAGGGTAAGCCTGGCGACAACGACGCAGGCCAGGATAATGTGGGTTTCGGGTATAGGCTTTAGAGTTTAGGATATACTAAGAGCCCTAAGACTTGGGACGTTTGTTTATGTTGTGGACCAGCACCGCTGTTTTCGGTTTCATGTGATGTTGTACGGACGGTGTGACTAACGCAAGCTACACGCGTGTAGAAATCTGACAGATTCCTGCCACGTCTGAACCGCTGGTAACACCACAGCAACCAGGAGAATACAACCGCCACGATTCTTAGTTCATAGTTGGGATAGTCATAAAAATGTACATTTTTATTCCTTATTGGGTTTAAATACCGATAAACATGCAAAAATGTCAGCCAACTATGACCAAGGATAACGATGACAACGGCTACTTCTGCAAGTACTCTGACTGCATTCTGCTTCTGCGGCGACTTCGAGGGACGACCCTACGACAACTAGGATTTGGGAGATTCCAAAAATTGGAGGTACCAATTTTGGGGTCCTTATACTAAGGGTCCTAGTATTATCTATTTAGGGTACTATATTAGGGTCCCCTATTTTCGGAAATTCCCATTTAAGGTTTCTAGATATATTCAAGTGCATAAGGGCACTAGGCGCAGCTCCCACGAAGAGGGGAAGTACTGTCCAAGCTCGCAACAGCCACTTCTGAGCCTTGAACCGTACATGGAGAGGAAGTACTGTCCAAGCTCGCAACAGCCACTTCTGAGCCTTGAACCGTACATGGAGAGAAGCATTCAACGTTCGAAGCTCCGTCCGTCTCCCCTAAACCTTAAACCTCCAAACCCTGAACCCCGCTCGTCTCTGTTGACCTCAAGTACTGCAAGCAGTCGTGCATGACGCTCGGCGAAGACTTCGTGCTCGGCAAAGGACCCTCTGGTCCTAAACCCTTTAGAGTTTAGGGCTTAAGGCGAACCAGGTCCTAAACCGTTTAGGATTTCGGGCTTAAGGCTTAGGTTGGATCGCGTCTGGAAAGCATCAAGGTTAGCTGAAAAGCTTCTTCGATGCCAAGACCCGATGTCTATCGCCGCATTGTGCAGGCGAAGGTGCAACGATTGCGAGGCACCTCGCCTTTCTGACTCCTTGCCGTGTGCCTCTAGTGTCGGGTCGCTCACAAAGACAAGCAATCACGGTTTGATTAGGCTTCTTGGGTTGAGGTCTATTGGATTCTTCTGAGTCTATATATGCAAGCATCCCCAGATCACCCATTTTCTGAAGTCGGCACAGTCCGCAAGGTGTCATAGTGGCGCAAGCAGAGTGAGGCTGTGTCCTACGGAGGCCCCAGGCAGGTCATCTCATCCAACGCACTGTGAGACATGGAATTGGGAAGAGCCACTATCCTTGAGATTCAATGGCTCGCTCGGCGCTCTCTTCTACCCGCCACAGTTGGAGCTGTACGGACGTCCACGATCCAGCAGGGCGAATCCTCTGTTCCTAAACCCTACCTATAGTCTCCATAGTTCCCTTTTTTGGTTAACCAAAATCCCTATTATAGTTATAGGGTCCTAACCATAAAATTGGATAACCCAAAAAGGAACTACAATGGAGACTATAGGTAAACCCTAAATCCCTAAACACATCCACCGAAAAGATCTAAACTCCAGAACCCCCAGACCCCTCGGCTCCAATGCTCGCAGAGCCCAAAACCTGAACACCCCACCTCAGGTGGTGTCATGTAGGCGCCTTAGTAATTTGAATGGTTATTTGGGGTTATATGATACTATGATAATATTAGTGAGCTCCCAAAATAGTATAGCATGGGTTTATTATTTTTTGGTGCAAAAACGAGCCCCCCAACATAGTATAACGTTTAATTGTTTAGGCTCCTACAGTGTAGCTCCCCGGATTCAGGAATGCAGGATTCTGCTGTAAGAGTCCCAGAAGATACCTCCACATTCCTGGTTTGGGGTTTGGGGCTTTAGGATCTCGGGCTTGGGCTTTGTAACGAAAGCTCATTGAAGACACTGTGCTGATCTTTGGAGAACCTGCTGACTCCCCTGGCACCCAAAGCTCTACGCATTTTCAGTCATGAATCCGAATTCCTGACCCTGCCCCGTCTATCGCCCTAACGCGTCGCTGTGTTCATGCGAGTTTCTTGTTGGGGGCGGTTGAAGAAAGAGCGCCATTCGTTCGGTCGAATTCCTGTCCCGGCCACACTCCGCTTCCGACGGTGCCAGAAAACGGCTTTGACGGGTTGTGGGGTACCCTCAACCCCAAACCTTATATCACCCTTGCACCTCGAGCCCGAGGCCTTGACATACTGAGCCATAAACATCTAAAGCCCAAGCTATACTGTAGAAACCCGAAAGTTGGAAACCCAATAGCTTCAATCCTCAAGAGTAATGCATAAGGAATCCCTTCACTATTTGGCCTTAATCCAATTTCCAATTTTATGGGGCTTTACTGTAAGATTGTCACAGGGCAAAAGGGAATCGCCCTGTGCGGCTTTTAGGCACCTGGCCTACCAGGAGTTGCTGTCTGCATCCATGTAGGGGTCTCTGAAATTTAGCCTCTGGGCTCCTGGGGTCTAGGATTCGCGATTTTCGGGGTTGGTGTTCAGGGCTGAGATTTCGCAATGCAAAGACCAAAAAGCTTCACTTCACGCCCTGAAAGATCACATAGGCATCCAAACAGATGCGCTCTTGAGGTCTATAAACTTAGGACTTACAACATCATGTTGCCCTAAAACCCTAAAATCCTAAACCATAATATTTTCAGCCTTGCAACTGTAAGGATCCCCCTGGAAGCGAGCCCTACTTCGGGAAAGCTCGCAGACTTTGCTCGATGTCCTTGCCAAAAACTGAGATGTGTGTATATATATATATATGCACACATGCATACTAGACTCTAAGAGACACTAGTATCATCACATAACAGCCCTCAACCCTAAACCGTGAATTACATAGCATTTCTCGAGCAACCCCTAAAAAGGCACCATCACAATGACAGAGGATGAGGGTCACTGCATGAGTACTTCTATGTACGATTGAGGGGACCTGCGAAAAACAAAAAAAAGTAAGACAGGGACAGCCTGTCAAACCGTCGGAAGCATGTTCTTGGCGTGATATGGCCAACACGTCTTAGCAACACAAATCGACTTTCGTGAAAGCGATCGTGGTGGCGGAAGGAATCTGCCAAAAGGAGGCCCTGAAACAGCAACCTGGTTCTTGCACTTCCTGGGAGCAACTTGAAACTAGCATCATTACCATCCATGCACACACTAGGTTGCCAAGGTTCAGCGGTTACCTGGCAGCAGAAACTTCTGCCCCTTGCTGATGACCCGTCTGAAGCATATCTCAGAAATTTATCATGCAGCACACATACATACATACATCTGTACATCCGTGCATCCATGCATGCATACGTGCATACATGCATACATACACGCACATCTGCCTATACATATAGACACATAGCTTAATTTTCCAGCCAGCTAAATTGAATAATTTATTTGAGCTGCTCCCGCAAGCAAACCCTCCTGGTTTAATACGAACCGCGAAGAGCTCCAAGCGATATCAATGCCATGGTTACCCACATCGGTGGTGGGATTTGCTCCTATTGCGCCTGCCATCTTCTCAGCAACCTCCATGGATCCCTTCTTAGCCCACCTGCAGCTTCCACACTGCCATTCTCCCCTGGAGTAGGCCTTGAGACACCAGCTGCTGTGGTGTCTTGGCGCGAAAAAGATTCCAGGGTTAGAGGGTGTAGCTTGGATACATAAGAGTCTTGCCAAAACCAGTATCCGTTTACCTTATTGTACTGCTTAGCTTGATGTGCAGGCTGACCCGGAGGAAACCGACGATCAGCGACCGGCCTGCCACAGCCGATAGCCCGTCCCCAAGACCCTGTGACCCAAACTTCGTTGGGTTTTGGTTTGTGGGGTTCTTTCAAGGGCTTCTAAGGGTTCCTGTACAGGTTGCTTTAAGGGTCCTACAAGGGTATCATAAGGGTTTAGGGCTTAAGGTTTAAGGGTCCATGTGCCCAAACAGAAAATACTTTGGCCATATATAGATACTTTGGGGGCCAAAGTATACACTATTTGGGTACATGGACCCTTTGGGAACTACAGTATGCTCTGGCGTTTTAAGGTTTGGCCTTAGCGATGCATCCACCTCAGCTCTGTAACAAGTTGACCTGAGCTCTTGGGGGAGTGGCATAAAGCTACATAGATTAAAACAACCCCCGACACAGCATAGAGGCAATGACCCTACTAGCCCAGGCAATTCTGTCGAGGGAGCTGGGAAGTCGTAATATCCAGAGACTCCAATATCCCCTGAGTAAGGAGTGTACTTCAAATTATTCTTGGATCCCTCATAACCCTAATAAGATTTAAGGAATGTTCCTTGATTCAGGGGTATATCTCTAAGTCACAAAATAAGCGGAGCCCACACACCTGGATCGCTAAGCCTCAACCGAATCCCTAGAGCCTATAAACCGT